CCCCCCCCCCCCCCCCCCCCCAAAAAAATAAACAGCACATGGCACATTGGAAACCAATGTGTATAAAACCATATGACACGCTCACGCAAACATCAACGCAACCTGCAGAGCAGATCAGTCACAACAGTGTGAACTGTGCATGACTGCTGCACACTACTCCTTCATCTTCCTTCACAAACAATCATAGCATGTTGAAAATCACAGTTAAAACAACAATATGACAAAGTAAGAATTCAGCATGTTTTTTTTTGTTTTTTTTAACTCACACCCATATATCCCCAAAAGTAAAGTGTTGTTCCAGACTCAGCCTCTCTTCCCCTGAACTCAAAGTGTTTCAACTCTGAGGCAGTTTTTAAATGCCGTAACAGAATCAAGCGACACATTCTGTAGAAAATGCCTGGTGAGGAATACAGTATGTGGCTGGTCTACTATTCACTGACAAACATACTGAAATGTTCTTGACATCCTCCATGTGAAACTATGATACGTAACAATCAAGCTTTCCGACACATACCAATTGATGAAAGAAGCAATCTTATTCGCCTCCCACCTCCCACACACAAACATCAGCTGACCCCCTCCAAGAAACCAGAGTCATATTTACAATATTTTACAAAATTTTACAGCTCATGTAGGCCTATTACGTAACTGTGACTAATGACCTTTGTCTTCTGACCATTATTAGTGTAACAATGTTTTGTTAAAAACCTACCAAGATATACACTTCGTGACACATTTTCAAGAAAGAGTATTAATCACAAATGTTTTGTTAAAATTCAGTATGAACTAGTCACAAATATACAGTTTTTCAGTACAAATTACAGCTCCTGACCATCAAACAGGCTTCACCTGGAGATTTGTCTCCTCTTATCTCAGAGAGATCAGGTTCAGAGGTCAAATAAACCAATAAAACACAGCCAAAACAGATAAAGAAACAGCGCAGCCATCACACACGAAAAGAAACAGCATGGTGAAACATAACGACGGAGAAAAAAAAACAACACAAAAAAATACAGCATCTTATGTGTTGTGATTACATGTAGTCATAAACTTTTTTTCTCCTTTCATGAACTTTCTCTTCTTTTTTTTTTTTCTCAGGAGGGGGAGTTAAGTGAGGCGTCAGTAGGGTGGGCTGGGTTCAGGCTGAGACCAGGGTGGGGGGGGTGAGGGCTGAGGGGTGAGGGTTCAGCTGCCCCAGCCAGAGAGGTGGACTGGACAGAGACAGGCCAGATCAGCTCCAAAGCAGCTTCAACTCTCAGCTCTCAGTCTACATCTCTGCACTGACACAAAAAGCACCTGGGTTACTCACAGGTGAGTCCAAATGAAACAGTCCTATATGTTAGGTTAAACAAGATGATGACTTACAGTCTCAGTGATAGCCGTTGGTGAAGGCCGTGGCGATCAAAGGGCCCTGTGGGAGCAGGCATACAAGTTTCAAGTTCACTAGTTGTTCTAAGACTCATTTCCTTCTTTCAGGATGAAGATGCAAATCAGGTGAAAAATGAGCTGCTGCAGTGTTTGGTTAGAAAGAAGAACTGCACACATATTCTGAGTCATGATGGCCCACAGCTCACAAATCAAAAAACAAACATTGTTCTATGGTGGAAAATGTATCGCTAAAGATGAGCAGAGCGGTGATTGGAAATATTTCAAATAAATAATGGTGTTGCTGGACCTGCCTGTTTTATTTACAGCGTAGTGGATTCAACATCAGTACTTTGACAAGTTGGGAAATAGAGTTATTTGCTTTCTTGCAGAGAGTTAGAGATTTTTACAGTTGGATTGAGCCAGGCGAGCCGTTTACCCCTGTTGCCAGCCTTTATGCTAAGCTAAGCTAACCAGCTGCTGGATACAGGTTCACATTTATGGACAGACATCATAGTGGTATCAGTCTTCTCATCTAACTCTCGGCAAGAAAGGGAACAAGTGTATTTCCCAAAATATGTTGAAAGTCATTTCAATAAAAAAAGATGACCTCAAGCTTTATGTTACGATAAGGAATGAGGACAGAAACTAGTCCAACACAGAACTGAATATTCCTGAAATGATAAAGTAATCAGTAGAGAGGATATCTTACCCCCAAACTGTGGCTGAATCCAGAGCTTGGGGAGGGGCTTGCAGCACTGAGGTAACTGCTGACAGCCGACTCCTGACTGGCTGTCCCATAAAGGTCCGCCATCGGCCCCGGGCTGCTCGTACCTAAAAATCCTGAGCGAGACTGGTTGGAGCCTAGAAGCAAAATAAAAACACGTGAAAGAACATATTGAGCCCACTTGTTTTTAAAGTGTCATTTATCAATATTTTCATGATAACAATTAGCTCACAGTGATTTTACTTTTTTTGGTTCACACTCTCTTTTTAACGAATTTCTTATATTTCTTTTCCTATTTTCTCTTGACTTTTGCTCTGAGACAAATTCCTTATATGCGCAAACCTACTTTGAAATAAAAACTGTTTCTGATTCTGAGTTCTGTATATTGAGAAGCTGGTCCCAGAAAAAAACCTTTTCAATGTTCATACCTCTAACTACTGCTGCTGCTGCCGCTGCTGCTGCCATGGGTCCATATGCAGTCAGAGGAATGGCTAAAGAGACAAGAGAGGCAAAGATCCAGCTTCAATGTTTTGGTGAGCAAACACAGAGAAATGAACTAATAACAGTAAAGTCTCTCTTCAGTGACCCCAGGAACTTTCTGATAATTTCAATGAAGCCTTGTGAATACACACAGACATAGAAGTAAAAACAGTCAATGAGAGCATTGCTGATAATGAAACTAAACAACGACAGACGGGTTGATGAAGTCACTGCAGGGAGACTTTAAATTGAAAACGTCCTCATTACTGTCAGCGATCCTGCCTTCAGAAAGAGACCGAGGAGGACTGACAAACACAAACATGCAAACCAAAGAGTGTAGCAGACTGACAACATGCTGCTTGTAAAGTCCAGAGGAGTGATTGACTGACCTGTGAGCTCAGGGGGGTGGGGTGAAGTCAGAAGGGGAGTCCTCTCTAAGTGGAACTCTAAAACAGAAACATCAGAGTGCTGTTGAGACACACACACCACCATCACCAGCAAGGACAACACAGACACACACACACACACACACAAAGAAACACAGCCAGGGAAACCCCTCTGAGGGGACGACAGGAGGTACGGAGAGCACATATTGTAACACACAAGGTTTGAGGGATGCAAACAGGAGTTTAAGGATGGAAGAATGCTTTCAATATAGTGGTATTAAAATCAGTATTAAATAGCAAAAAAATACAGCAAACAATTTCAATACAAGAGTGCGCTTTGATTTCATCAATATGCAAAACTCCTAATACTGGGAGCAACCCCTAGATTAGCTTCATACACTCAAGTGAAATACACTGCCATACGCACAAACACAAAATTCCACTCCCTGATATTTACAAGCAGCCATTTACACTCACAGTGTTTCACGTGCTTCTATGGAAACATGTTTGTATTTGTGACAGTGTGTCTACTGTCTGGACAACAACACACAGTACTGGTTAAAGTTAATTTATCAGGTGAGAGGAGTATTTACACCAAAACTATCCTTTCATTGAAACGTGTTCACCTGCTGCTCAGGCATTTAAGACCTATTTAGCTATGCTGCAACTATTAGATAGACTGCTGTGATATTTGCTGCATATAGATCTCTAGAGGATAAGATCTATGACTTTTCCTCTCATGCCATCATCAGGTCATAATTTCAATTCTTCCAATACTTTGGAATCAGCCTGAACTGTACTTTGTGTTAAATGCTGATTAGCAAATGTTAGCATGCTATTATGCAAAACTATGATGGTGAACCTTGTAAATACTACCTGCTAAATGACAGCATGTTAGCATTGTCACTGTCTCACCCATCACAATGCACCTGTAATGCTGAAACCCTGAACACTTGCACCTGCTAGCTAAATACTAACTAAATATGGCTGTATATCGATTTCTCAGTTGACAGAGTGTATCCGGAGCAGAAGTGTGCTGTGATTACCAGGGAACTGGTAGGTATATCCAGGAGTGATGCCAGCATAGCTCCGACTGGTGTAGGTGGCTGTCTGGAAGCCTGGATAACCTGTAGAAACAAAATCCCTGTTAACATCTGGATCCTTGCAAACACTAAAAAAAACGAGCGGGCACATGAACTAAATAAATAACAAGTGTGTGGATGTGCTGCCCCCTAACAGTAAAACACAGATGGGTGATATTCTACACCTGTGGTCTGGAATTCTTCACAAGTTAAGGACTGAGCAGTGCACACTACACAGAGATCTTCTTTTGTACAAAACACACTAACACCTGGATAACCGACCTCAGAACAACATTCAGACGGATGAGAATAATGTTATCTATTATGAGCTCCCCAATATACCACAACTAATTTGATATTTTTGTATTTTTTTGTGTGCACGTGGTGGCATATCCTTTAATCTGCACTGTCTAATCAAAGCAATGAGATACTGGAGAGAAAAAAGATGTTCTCAAACTGAACAGCAGGAGGCAGCATTGGTAAGTTTAGCTTCAGACGCACAAACCGGTCCTCCTGTTAAGATCTGTTAATGGATTGGCACCGCTGTAAATAAAAAGGAAGTTAAAAAAAAAACGTTCATGTCAACAAGATCAGAATTATTAAAGGGCCATTCCACTATTTTTACACCTGAGATTCAGTTTACCCGTCATGAGGAGTACTAGTCTGCTTGAGGTGAAAACTGTAAAATGAGGAGGGAGATTTCCAAAAGTAAATAAAAGCACAGTGAAAAACACTGCCGATAACTTAATATTCACAGCTGTGAACTGTTTAGACGAAGCAGGAGGCTTGTTTTTCACGCCACTTCTAATCTGAGGTCTCAAGTGATCGAGGCTGCATGGTGGAGAGTTGCGACCAGTTCAGTGGTCAGCTTTCTCCCCATGAGGCACCATGTGACCTTTCAGACAGCTGCGGTCTTAGCGCAGGAATACTTATTGTCATGTTCATGTATGCTGCCACATCCTTCCTGTCCTGATCAATACCACCTTACCTAGCATACCAATGCCCAGCATGAAGGCGTCCATTCCATAGGGCATCACACGAGAGCGCCCCCTGGCTGAGCCCGTGGGGGACATCACCTCTTTGGGCTGAGCTTTCTTACACTCCACCTGTTTCCATGCAAAACACAAATCATTACTTCTAGCTACTACATGACATGCTGATACTAGAAGTCTTCCACAAATCGAGCTGCTCACCATTTTGTTGTTGATCTCGTGGAAGTGGATTTCGCAGACTTTTTCCACAACATCCTCGTTCTCGAACGTCACAAAGCCAAACCCTGGAGAGGACAAGGCAAGTTCATGAGTAAGAACATTTCACACAGTATGGGGAAGATAGACAGTAGGCTTTTCTGTGCAGAAGCACGGCTAATAGTCTCCAGTAATCAGTGCTGTAATAGCCGCTTAACACATTTGCCCCCCTTCCCCCCCTTTCAATGCTGCTACTCTGCACTCATCCTTTCTTCCCTCCCTTCCTGGCCAGAAGGCCCGGGCAAAGCCGGTAGGCTGTCATAATCGATCAGTCCCAGGGTGGGGAGGAGGTGCTTAAGGAGGCTTTATCCTGATCCAGATTAACGGACTGGCTAATTAGACTAGCCTCGTTCGTCTCCTCCAGCTCAGCCCACAGGAAGGAGGCCCGTGGGGGGTGGAGGGTGATCAATAGATACCCTGGAAGGACCGGAGGAAGAGTAGTAAACCAACGAAGACGAGGAGAGATGTAGGGATTGAACAGACATGGAGATGGGTCAGTCTGTCTCACCTCTGTGTCTGTTGGTGGTCTTGTCGAACATGAGCATGGCATCGTCGACCTGGGGGCAGACAAACAACACAGTTTTGTTAGGCAGGCGCTCTCTCTCTCTCTCTCTCTCTCTCTCTTGCCACACAGCATATTGCCTGACCTCAGCCCTTCTCAAGTTCTGCAGGGAGGCTCAGCAACAGATGGACAGAAAGGAGGGGGAAGGAGGGACGGAGGGAGGGAGAGGACTAGAGACGAGCGACAGGTTACAGAAAGGAGGCAGAGGGGGCAAAGGCAGGAACATGAAGAAATACTGAACAAGCCCTGGTGCTGTATAAGACCAATGGACATAATGGGTGGCATGAAAAGTTGGAAGTCGTATTTGCTGCTAAACTGCCCCAGTCACAATCCTTCTCACAGAGAGCCCATAATCCGCCCCCCCCCCCCAAAGTTTGGCATTCCCATGGCAACTGTACAAGAAGTCCATATGAAAGAGCTCGCGCCAACATCAAATATGCTCTATGAATAGTGGGAGAGTGCCAGTGAGACAAAGTGGGCCGCAGAGAGAGAAACACTGAAAAAATAATGGAGCCAGTGGTTAGCAGAAAGGTGAATCCTGTGGGCAGGTGGAGACTCGATGAGAGGGGAGAGCTGATAGCGAGAGGAATAGCGACAGGTGGAGATATGGTGAAAGAGAGAACAGAGAGTCCTGTAAGAGAGGGGAAGAAAAAAAAAAAGATTGGGTCAGAGTGGAAAGGGAGGAGAAAGAAGAGACAAAAGGAGAGGGAGAACAAAGAGGCCTGGAGGCTTTGTTTGCTGGCACAGTCAGCTATAATTCCTCCTCCTCTTCTCCCTTTGACCTCTCCCTCCGGACTGGCCTCCCTTTATAGAGCAAAGACACAGGTGTCTATTCTACACACACACAGAGTGAGTTTGTAATGTCAAAGTTGACCTACTCTTTTGCTGCCCCCCCCCCCCCCCCCCTTCTCTCTTCTAAAAAGCCGACATGTTTATTCTCCAGTCTGCACACACAGGTGCAAATAAACATTTGGTAAATTAATCTGTGCTCTCAGTCTATAATAAGTTTACTGGATATAGGCCACTGAATAATTTGTCATAGTCACATAGTCACACAGCACACTGTGAGTGTGTGTGTGTGTGGACCCCTAAGGGCAGTTTGCCTACAGAAAGGTCAAAGGTGAGGAGTGTCAGTGTGAAAGGGGACCTGTTACTCTGATGCTCTCAAGTCAATGCTTCCTTCCAGACCGACATTTTGCTCAATGCCAGCAACATGTTCAATGCTCTATCTCTGCAAGAACACTCTTTATCTTTGCCATTTAGCTGACACTTTTATCCAAAAGGGCCTGACAGTAGAAACTCCTCATATTGACACATATTTAAACAATCAATTGTTCAGAGAGCGAGAGTTAAGAAGTCAAACACACGGGAACCTAGACAATCCCAACAAGGACACACGAGCGCTCTGGGAGATGCAATCGAAACATCACAACAACGCCTGCAGTTCCAGTTGAACACCGCACACTGAGTCAATTGCACATCATTGCTTGATGTTTTAAACGCTGCATATTTTAATGGCGTACCGCCGGACAATATTCCCTCTTATCCTTTTTTTTTTTTTCCCCTCCTCTCATCTTCCCTGTTATCCCCTGCCCATCCCTCTCCGCGCTCCTTTGTCCTCACCAGGACGGGACACAAAAGGTCCAGTGAGGCAGTCTAATCAGGAACTTCCATGGATGGCTGGAGCCTACATTTCACCATCCATCCCCTCGATATCTCTCTCGGCAAAATTCATCTAGACGTTATGATTGAGGAGGGAGCACGGGGAAACTCGAGGCCAAACCTTTGGCACTGAAAATAAAGTGCCACGCAGTCGGAAACGCAGTGGCTAAAACGGAGTCTTCGCATGTTTGACTTTGAAAAGTTCTAAGAGCTCGAGGTGCAGATTTGCGCTTTGCTGTAAAAAGTTTATATGATTTTTTGTTTTGTTTTGTTTAATTGGTTTTGCACAAAATCAACCAAATCTCACATGGCACACTTATTATTGATGGTCAGTTTCCCATTACAGTACCCATTTAGGAGTGTAAACAGTCCAGAAACTTCCAGTATGCAGATAACTTCTGGACAAACTAACAAAATATTTGTCTAGCTTTGTACAGAGGCATAATGGCCCCCGTAAACCCCCCCTAAAACACCATCTTTGCCCCAGTTCCCTCTCTTACGCCTCCGCAAACCTCTCTCAATCAGGCCCTCCCTCTTGTCGGGGTCTTTGTCAGCCCATCATCTATTCTCTGCCTCACTTCTGTCAGAGCCCTCAGAATATCCAAGAACTTGGACAAAACTTCATAAAGAAATATTAAAAACACACAAACAAATGCGTAAATTAAGGCTTAACGAAGGCAGGTCTTTGAGCATTCGGTCGACTTAAATTTATTGGTACTGAACTACTGAGTTGACCCCCGCCCAACTCACGCACACTCATGCTAACACCCCCAAACACCACCTCGTCCCTCCTCCATCAGAACAAAACCCCCTTACCCACAGAATTACTTGGGGACAATGGGCAAGCCAGGTCACCACGGTAACGGGCCAGGAGGGGGTTGTGGGTAGGAGCAGCTGTTACATCAGATTAATTCAGATTCTGATAATCCCTCCTCCTTCCTCGCCATCACCACACACTCACCACAAAACTTTTCTCCCCCCCTCTCTCCGCTCCCTCTTCAAGTCCCCCTAACTTCGCCTGCTGCTCCCGGAGCCTCTCGGCCTCGTTATTCTTTCCCTTCCTACCCTCTGCAAGCGTTTTCTCTCCCTCCTTTCTCGCCCTCCTCCTCCTCCTCGCAGTAACCCCTTCACTTCAAGGCGGTCGCTCGACTCAAAGTGAAGTTTTTCTCAGCGAATTTGCGGTGAATCAGACTCGGCAGAGCTGGTGGGATGTTGGACTACGTGTTCCATAAACTGTTGATTTGTTTCTGCACAAATACCAACGAGACTGTAATCCTTAGTTCCATTCTGATCAATTTCGCCGATGTTCTGTCAAACATTTCCACCACAGTGTGACATCCCAACAACTTTAACACTCTTAAAATATCTCTCACCTTCCCAAACTGGTCAAAGTACTGTTTCACGTCCTCGATGGTTGTGTTCACTGACAGGCCTCCCACAAAGATCTTCTTGGTTCGAGTCACTAACTGTAAGAAGAGGAAAGGCACAGATGAACACATTTCTTTCTTCGGACTGTCTGTTATCATCTTGTACATTTCTTATTATATAATTTATATCTAGTAAGATAAGGCTTAAAATTACTTTTTCTCAACAATAGAATCCTAGGCCACTCTACTTTAAAATAAATCAATTGTATTATTCGCGTCAAATGTACATTACTCAGTTACACACCAGGATTGATTTTTCCTGTTACTGTAATTGTTACTACATTACAAAAATCAAGTGCAAAAACAATATTCATTATCCTCTCATTAAAAGCTCAGTTAGATGAGAAATAGCAGACAACTTTCTTTCGGTGGAACTTAAACTTGCGAAAATCAAATAAAAACTTGGGCATTGACACGAAAAAAGTAATGTAATGTATTGTTTGAGCAATTAAATGAAAAGTGTTTTACAACATGGTTACTATTCCTTTATCTGTGTGGTTTACTATATACAGCTCGATCTAAGGAGGCTTTAAAATAATCACAAAACTTTTCTCTGAGCGACTGTATTTATGTTTAATACAAACACACACATTAATGATTATATTCCATAACATCATTTAGCTTTGTGGGGGTCATTACTAAACACTGTTTTGGGGACGGTTTAACACTTTCACTTGAGGCCCAAACAGGATAACAAAAAACTCTCCCGTACGTCGGTTTCTTGTGTGACGTTGGCTGTCTTACATTACACACAATCTTTGAATAAAAAGCAGTGTTTCCTGTGATGGACACAGAGCAAATCCTGGGTTTACACTTGAATTATTTTGCATCTTTTGCATCACTTTTATTTTCTTTCACAGCAAAATGAGCTCGCTCAGTCAGACACACAAAGAGCAAGATGAGCAGCATCTCACGGCACAGGTTACATATACTTTGACACTTCATCTAAATGTAACATATATTGTTGTTAGTTCACTGGGAGTGGATGCAAGTTTCTTAAAATATACAGAGGAATCAGACACAAGGAAGCGGGTTGTCTGTGGGATTTACACGCATCAACTGGACGTGTGCCTGACATCCATTAGAATTTAACAACACAACACAATATACTGTGGAATGTATTGAGCATACAAGAGACAAGAACCAGTTTTGTACAGCATATGAGTCAAGCTTTGTATTAATGTAAGCCGCACTGGGATATTACAACATCACTACAAATTTCAAAGTAAAATACTATTTTTTTTTTTAAACTTAATTTCTTTCTGGACTGTGTGCTTCACTTTGTATTTTCATTGTGCGCTGCATCATGGGACTATACTGTCCATGAAAAGCACATTCATCAATTTCGTGTTGGTCTTTTATGTGTCGCTAATATAATCATTTTATCCTTGCACATACATCACATACGGCACTTGTTGCAGACATTTCTGGAAATTTGTTGTGTTAATTTTGTGAATGGTACAAGGCTACATGTAGAGCTGGGCGATATGGAGGAAATCGAATAATCTAATTTGTCAATATTTTTGACCAAATACCTCGATATCAATATTGCGACGATGGGTTGAAAGCTTGACTATTGGTGCTTTTGAAAAATATTTACATATTACAATATTAAAAATCCAAGATGATCCCTAGCCTAATTCCACAATATCGATATTCTATCGATATATTGCAGTAGCTACACTACCAGTATTCCTTCACGCTGTTTGCATCACTAAGGTATCCTTTCTCTTTCTCACCATGTTGTTGTTCATGAAAGAGACAAACTGGATCAGGACACAGCGTACTTGAAACACAATACCGACGTTTAGGTGAGTTTGACAATAATGAGCGTCTTTAAAGTTGTCAACTTTTGTTGTTGACACATGATCACATAACAGTTCAGTGACGTCAGCGCTGCTCGTGTTCATCAGATTACGGGGCATTAGCGACGCTAAGAGGCACACACTCGCCCGCTGCAAACAATGCACGTGAAACCAACACAGGGAGACGCTTTGACTCACCTTGGGCTGAGCTCTGCGAGGGAACGCCACCTTAGGGTCGATCTGCGGGAGAGAATACAGAAAGAGAGAGGAACGGTTAGTGTTGTGTCACGACACAGATGACACAGCAACCTGTCGCCTTCCTTTGGTGGTCTCAGACATCACAGCCTCATCTTTCATTCTTTAACGATGAAGGTGCAACAAATCCATGTTATTATTCCATGTATTATTCACCAATCCTAAATCAAAGCAGTGACGGTAAAGACACCTGTCTTTTTAAGGATCATCACTCTCGGGCCTGGAAAACAGAATGACACCATTTATAATTGTGAAGGAAAGTTGTGATGAAGTTAACATCAAATGAACAGTATGTTCTCAAATCAACACCCATCGGCGATATTTTCTCATTATAACCTGCTTCAGCTAGTAGACCAGGTGCTGACTATGTCCTGGTGTACGTTGACATCGATGTAGCAGTAGATGACGGATGAAGGAGAATATATTTAAGATGCAGGAAGCGATAATACATTTGAATAATTTCCACTGAAGGTTGGTTCACATAAATGACATTAAAAAAAAATCAGCTTTCCTCTCGTGGTATTCAGTTGCAGATGGTTTTGCTTCTATTTACCCAGGTTGAGAGATTAGCCATTACAAATGATGCTTTAAAAATGTAACATCTCTTTACAGAAACGATGTTGCTTTTACTCTTGATGACACACAAAACATGCTGCCAATAGTTCTTATGGGAGCTGTTCATTTGGTAGAAAGTAGTTCAAATAAAAACTGGACACAGTGAGGTCTGATCTTTATTCAAAGTAACTGCAACATTGTTTATGGAAAGAAAATCGAAATGACAGATACACAAAACCTGGGCAAGGAAAAGCAGAACTACCTTGAGTGTAAGTGAATTATTATTACGGTACATATTTTTTTTTTTAAATTTGGGCAACCATTAAAACATCCTATCTTCATAGAACTTACTGTACATCTGTTTGTGATGTTTAATCTGAAATACGATCACACGATTGATGTTTTATATTAGCATAAAAACAATACAACCTTCGGTGTTTGTGCATCTATGTGCAATGTGAATGTGCTTTTATCCCACGTTTTTTTGTATGTGCTTGCTTGTGTTTATATTCCAGTATGTGACGATGTAAGAATTGTACTTGATTGTACATGTGTATGTGTGTGTGTGTGTGTGTGTGCGTGCAGCTGTGCTCAGGTGGAATGCCTGGAAATGTCCTGTGAACTCCTGCCTCTCTCATCACCATCATGTGACATGTGATCTCCTGGAATCTCACACGGGCACTACAATCACAAACACGCCTCACCTCGGGCGAGGAGAGCCCGAGGGGGAGGACAAGCGCGTCCGAAAGAGAGTGAGCGGACCGAGGAGGGAGAGGAGGACGGGGACAGAGAAAAAGGGAGCCGTCACTCAAACCACACTGACGGCAAGATCCACCCAATTTTGTTTGTTTGTGTTTGTTTGTTTTTGCCTCCCTCGGCTTTGGACGGAAGCGATGACAACAACAGCGACCATTCATCCTCCTGCACGCTTTTAGGTGATGCCGATCGTCCTCTGCCCTGCTGCTCCTTACGTTTACACCCAGGAAGAAGCACCAGCTAGGCCTTTTTTTTGATATTAATCTCTACACTACAACTACAAACACAAACAATAGAAATGTGTACAAAATAGACGGTCGAGCCCACTGAATGTCACCACGGTTAAGATTGGAGAGAGAACCACACCATGCCACGAGGATGCAATCATAGACAGGCTGTAAAATTGGAATTTGAGACCTCTATATTAGTCTATACTGGTCTAACAGAGCTGGAGAACAACTAGACTACTCCACACTGTACTGCTGTTACACTAACAGATGGTGAGACAGTACAGCGCTAAGATTAGTCCGTAACCATGAGAGGGTAGAGTTGAACTACAGTAGACAGCTAGAGCCTCTATGGCAAACAACATGCGTTTACCAGAGTCAGGGTGACAGTGTTGTTTCTACTTGAATAAGAGTTGACATCACCGTATGTTTTTTCTTCTTTTTCTCTTTTGTTCTAGAGAGCAGAGTGAGAAGACTATAGGCTAAGACTGGAGGATCAGATGCAGAGTCTACTGTTTAGTTTCTATGGTGGCTAGACTACTCTGATAGTCACCTCCGGTCACCAACCCTCCTGATGTCCAACACTCCTGTGCACATTCAAAAACAAACAGACACACACAAACAAACAAAATCAAACAAATGGCAGCACACAGCACATCCGTGGGGAGGAAATAGTGGACATTAAAAGACAAAAAAGTGGCTGAAATCGGTTTGTTTTCGTGGAGGGGAAAAAAAAGTTGATCATAGCAAAATCAGGAGATGTATATAAAATCCCCCTCCGCTCAACAGAAATGTGTTTTGCTTATTGTTAATTCGGCAGGATGTTTGAGCTTCACTGTGCAGAGTTTGACAGTCATCGGATGAGGGAGGATGTCTCGTTGTACTTACCTAAAATCTGACTTTAAGAAGTTTACGAACAAACATGATTTGTCACAACTTGTATAATAGCCAATCGCGGCCCAGTATGCAAATTACACGAGTGTGGAAACCTGAAACTACAGTGTGCTGAGATTTTTGTAATGTAACAAAAAAATGTTTGTGCATCTAAAATTTTTCATTGGGGGAGAATAAGTATCGAGAATTTTTATTGAGGTAATTGAACTTTTTTTGTGGAAAAAAAACAGACACAAATTATGAATCCACAACATACGTCATATAACATGGCTAGAGGGAGTCTTTAACTTTCTTCTACAGAGAGACGTGAAGATGTCAGAGGCGTTGTTTGGGAAGAGGCATAACCTCTCCACACTCGCAACAAGGTAACAGGGATGAAGCTGAATGTAATTCCAAGAGAGGTTTATGAAATCAGGGCAATCCCCTTTGACTACTACATCCCGGCTATGCAACAGTTAGTCGAGCGCGCTGCCCGTCACAGCCTGAGCTGGGAACACACTTAACGCAACATGCCGATTGGGCAGCACTCAACATCTCTGAGGAACAACTCAAGCTTGTTGACTCCAATCCTATTAGTTAGGAGAGCCATACTAATCACAAATGGAGTTATCCTGCCCCCCCCTCTTCTTTCCACTCAGGTCAGCATGGAAATGGTTAACGGGGGCCACACACACATATGCCTGATGCAACTCTGCAAAGAGCTCTGTGACGTTGTTGCAAACCTCTCCGCTGTGCACCTTGGAGCTGCAATTGAATGGAAACTTTGTCCCACAAAAGGTGCAGTTTGCATCGGCCGTCACTAACTTTACGGATAGCAGGAAGCTGGGAGGGCATCCAGAGGGGCAACTAGCAGAGCAGCAGTAACATAAATCACAGTAGAAAACCTGCCTTCCTTAAGTGGTCAAAACCGGGCTGCATCTGTCCTTCAACACAATAAGTACCAATAAATTCCTCTGCAGCACTGTATTTGCTCTTCAGACTCTGGGCTGTGCAAAGCTCTGTTAATTCCAGTGCCGGAGCGGTTCAGTCGGTCACAGCATGGCACATTCTTTCTGTTGCCATTGGAGAACTTTTCTCTCCCCTCTCTAACAGGATAACCTGTTAGCATGGGAGAGAGAGGTAGAGGGGGGCAGGGTGAGCGGTCTAAAAAGGCCTACTCTACTCACCATCCAACCCCTGTGGCTGATCACTGAGCCCTCTCCACGCCAAACACACATTCTCTGAGGCTGCCACACAGCCCCCACCCGAACGCCACCGACACACCCGACTGCCGGACACAAGGGGCCCTGCCGCGGCCCACGAGGCTACGCACGGTTAACGCGCGCGGAGGTTAAGAGGAGAAATTAAAATGGAAAAAAGGAGGGAATCATCACCGCCGGCCTCTTCCATAAATAAACTGAATAAGTCGTTTATCAGGAGAGGCGACGTGGCGATAAACCGTCAGTATCATGACCGGCAATATCTGTGACCGCTTATGCCGTCTTGATTTCTGGTATCCGAGAAATGATTGTAAACGATGTGCATTGTTATCTTCCCTTTTCTTTTCTTCTGTGACAGAACCATTCTTCAACTGTGGAGGGGAGGGGAGGGGAGGGGGGGGTGGTCACTATGGCAACAAACCCCATGGCGAGTTAGTGGCGTCCAACCATGATGCCTCTACTTGTCATAGCTGTTGTGCCTGCAAGTGACACTGTAGCAGTAGGGCACTGGGGAAAACTAAATTCAGTTTGATTGCGCCCTTCCTAATTTTGGATTCATCATAACAAACATTTCTCATTTCCTTCTAACTTTCTACAGCAAACAACAGGTTTTGTTTTTTTCCCCTTCTTTTTGTCTTATTTCTTTCTTCAGCACCTCCATTTATTCTCTAAAGATTTGAGAAGGTGCATCGCTCAGAGCACAAAAGGGGAAAGAAGAAATAGCCTCCCCTCATTTCAATACAGTGACTAACCAGCAGCCATCCCCACTCCCACAGAGGAAAGAGGCGGGGGCAGTGGTCCCTATGGTGACCAACGGGCCACATTGTTCCAGGACCGACCCACATTCATTACTGACAAAAAGACACACACACACACACACACACACACACACACACACACACACACACACACACTGCAACACAGGCGATTAATGCATTTTAAGTTACAATTCACATAGGTGAAAGGCCTGAGTTCCTCATCACTATATCCACAGTTTTACTTTTCCTGAGATCAACAGGAAGCTGTGAGGAGTTTGTTTTCTGCTTTCACACCTTGATGGTTTCAGGTTGCATTTGCTGGTTTCATTGAGAAACTTTTTTTTTTTGGGGGGGGGGGGCAATTCTACCCCTTGGGACAGAAAAAAAAAAAGCAGAAAGAAAGTTTTTTGGTTCACTCTTCCGAGAGACCAAAATAAAAGATTTGGCAGTGAGAGCAACTCTTGTCTAGTTCACCTTGTTTCTATGGAAATTGACACGAGGTGACATTTGCTTGCCGTTTTGGTCGAAGAGTGAAGACGGAGCACATTCTCCAATGTGTCTCCACTGTCGACTACTGACTCAACCATGTAAAGTGCTCCCATCTGAGTTGTGGCAGCGGACACAGAAAAACATCGCCATAGGGGAACCCTTAGTAAGAAGTACTAAAAATGCAGCAATGATACACCTCTCTAGCGGATTATTGGAAAATCCACTAATCAAACACTAAGCAATGGGATTAGCCGGTGGTGGGAAGTAAATACAGAGAACTCACTGTTTTTGAGTCCAACTCGTGCCTGGTTTGGGCCAAAACTTTATCCACGCCAGGCTGATCAACAAAGGTGACGAATCCAAAACCTCTGCAGACATCATTGAGGGGGAGAAGGTATTAATGACACAGAAACTGATGGTGACATGTAATGATACGTTACGAGCAGAGAGGAATCACAGAGGTCAGATAAACTTTCAGCTCCGGCGTAGAAGCCGGCCTCGCAGTTCCCTCACCTCGAGCGCTTAGTAACCGGATCTCGCATCACCATACACTCCTTCACCTCGCCGTACTTGCAGAAGTACTCCTTCAAACCCTCTGGGAAACCAAACAAGGTGGAGAGGACACACGTCCATTTATGAATCAAGAGGTTAAGAAGAAATTACAACTTTTTTTAATAATCAAATCAGCAAAGAGTTTGGCGAAAGAGTCTTAACTGTTTCACTTTGCTGAGATTTCCCTCAACAAAGTTCAGACATTTTTTAAATTAAATCAGTCATAGAATGATGACCTGTAATCAGGACTCAGAAAACTTATTAAACAATTATTATGAACTATAATTCCAAGTACAATTTTTCATCTTATTACAAATTGAATAATCTGATTTCCCCATTTTTAAGGAGCTTTAAAGAATCCCTCATTCATTCCATGGTAGTTCTGAATGGGTGCATTCATTCTGGAGCAGGATTTACACTCACAACTCAAAGAAGGGAAAACAAATAAACAAATCCAATGTAAGCAAGCAGGAGTATTACGAAATACAGCTTTTAAAATAAGTTTCCATTAGCTCCATCTGATCCATGCCAGGAGTTTCAAAGACAGATTGACAGTCATTTTTGGAGGAGGAAGTGGTGGAAACAGATTTACCTTGTGTTGTTTGCCAGCTGAGTCCACCTATGAACATTTTGCTGTGGAAAGGAAGAGAGAAAACATTTTGCATATTCATAAAAGGAGGATTCAGGTTGATTAATATTTATATATTATACAGTAAGACAAATTTGGTATTGAGGTTTTAAATTAAGAAGTGTAATCGTGGAGGTCAAGACATCATTTTAGAGTTCATCATTTCTGATTTTAGATGAAGGCTCTCTGTGTGGAGGTGTGCGAGTCTGGTTGCAGAGCGGATCAGAGCCCCCCTTTGCAGAATGCCCGGTTTGTTTCTGAGCATATGTCGGTAAGAGAGTTTCCTAAAAGTTGTTGTTTTTTTCGTTACCAGGGGTCGTGAGGGGAGTCCGTGGTGGACAGGCTGGTCTGGCTCCCTTCCGTCTCCATTCCGGGTCCTCGCTGTGTGTTGTGAGTGAGAGCTGCGTGTGTCCGAGCCGAGCCGTGCGGGAGAACAGATTGAGTGAGAGAGGAGCTGGGCGGGTTTGGCCCGGGGTGACAGAGAGGGGAGCGGGCCAGATGCAGGCTGGGACAGACTCCACCTCCTCCTCCAGTCGGTCAATCCCGCTGCTGTCTCTCTCTCTCTCATCCCACCACCGAGGCACGCGGCCCCGGCGTCAAAGACACAGCTACCAACCACGCCGCTTCCGCTGCACCCTTCCAAAATAAATCCCTGGTGGTGCGTTGTACAGATAGAAGTGACCTTTCGGGCTGTCAAAATCAGGGACGTGTAGTAGGCCTACTTGCAAACTCTGTATAGAGAAATGCGAAAACAATGTACTTGATTACTCATTTATGAAAAGTAACAGGCAATACCGTATCAACTAAATTGCATGTGCATGAATATCTTTCATGCACACATTGTTTTTGCATTTTACTCTTTGTTGATCAAATATTTCAAAGAACTCTGGAAGTTTGCATAGAAAGTTAAATGTCACTGATGAGCACTGCTTAGCTGAAAGTAAGTAACTGTTGATATCCAACCAATGCAAAAAGACTGCTCCAATTTGCTGATTAATAGACCAAGAACTATTTGCTTGTTTTATATTTTCTGTTCTGAGTGATCAGTGGCTATTAGTAGGCCAGTCTTTCCTTGGAGGAACCTTTAGTACTGCGCTGTAGCTGCATGCCTTAAAAATACGAATGTCTTATATTGACGGTCTTTGGAGTGGATTTATAGAATGGGGAAAGCACAAACATTACAATTTAATTTAATGTCAGAGTTGGAGATTTGGCAAGTATTACGTGAGGCCCAATCTGTATTATTAGCCTGTATATTTGGAAAGTGTATTTTCTTTTCTTTTTTTTTGAAAAAGCCAATGAATCCAATTCAAAACATAAAACACAGGTTTTTTTCTAAATATTTGACATCAACAAAAAAACGTTTACGGTACTGTGTAAATTAAAACATAGCTTTTTATAATGATAAAATGCTATTCATAAGGCAAAGACATATTTCACAAAGAGCTACTGAATTGAAAGGAAATAGCTATATGATGTAAAATGAGATCAGATAATGAAAGCTAACAAAACATCATAAAATCTAAACCATGAGTAATTTAAAACAGATTCTCATATCCAGAGGTTCTTAACTAAACCCTCTGTACTTAACATAAAGCCTTTCTTATGAAGGCAGAATCTCATAACTTCCTGTCACATTCTGGCTGATTTTGATTAACTTGATGCAATTTCCGTTCTGGATAGAATAAAGTGTTAAACAGGTACAATTTACAGTTACAAGAACTAATCTGCATTTGTAATAAATGCCTAAACAGTCTTGAGAGGTCTTAAAAAAAAGAAAGATAACAATGAAAGTCGACTCATTTTAGCACACAACATGTACATGCAACTTGTATTTATATTGTCAGGGAAGTAATATGATATGCTATCAATTCAATCCAGAAAAAAAAGCATCACAGACACTACTTTACCCACAACAGGAAATGCTGAAAGCTACTCTATAAACGTGTTGTCGTTACAGTGTTTATGAAAAGGTAGTCAGGCCACAAAAAGAATCAGTTTCACAACTATTGGCCAACAGTTTGCTATGAAATTACTTATCAAGCCTCGATTGCGGCAGCAAGCTTTCATCAAATTAAGTCAACATGAAGTCATACTTCTCTTTTAATACACCCACAGGCCCTTGTAGTGTGTCTGAGGTGCTTGAATGACAACTTATGTTTTGTTACATATTGTTGAATTTTTCAACCCTCGGTCACGACTGATATTCACTGATCTATAACTTCACTAACATAACTGTTCCAATTCACCAACGGGCTTTTTGTTAAGTCATTCTAAGTGAATGTCTGTGCAGTGTTGAAGCTATCATCATCGCCAACAATGTGGCTGTCTGTTTTAATACACCTTCCATATTGCAAACCGGCTTATGCCATGTGGTGTACAACAGGAGGTTTGTGTGCTGTGTGCTCATTCATTGCCGGGGTTTAAGTATCTAATTAGTACCAAAGCCAGCTCCAGCTAATCTTCTCAACACTGACTCAACATGTGACCTGCTAACCAACGTTAAGGCCAATCAATAGCCTGAGCAACACAAAGACAACAACTGCTTTGACTTACGGCGGGTGTAAAATGGCTGCTGTCCTACCCGAGGCTGCAGGGTTTGGTGCAAAGTTTGGAAAGTCTGGATATTTGTGAGCATACTGACTTATAGTGCTGGTTATGTCTTCAAAATACACACATACCTGTAACACGATCATGTTCAGAGCAACACCACTAGCTCAGAGTGTGTAACCCAGGATGTTTGGGCACAGATTTAGATTCATGATTGTCCTCACTAACACAGTTTATCCTCACCGAGTGCTGCAGCCAGTGTCCTGCCTGCACACTCTATCCTCTGCAGATGAGAAGATGAAGCTCTGGAAGTGGGACAGGGCCTATTTGGACAGGAATTAAGGGGTGTGTTAAATTTCTGCATGCATGATCAATGGGGTTGAATGGTGGAGATGGGGTTGGGGTGGAGGGGAGGGCACTATGACTGAGGCAGAGTAAGAGAAAGAGAGCTAGTGTCGAGAACACAGGCCGAGGCAGCCAGCAATGGCTCACTAATGAGAGATGGACAGCGTGGATTGTATCTCATTATCAATCAACATAGCTTTGAGTTCTCTGGAGAGGGAAAATGCAAGCCCTCGTGTGTGCTGCATGTGGTCCATTTCGATAAACCCAGCTTGTGTGGAGGAGCATTAGTCACAGCCGTATCTGAGCTGTTGGAAATCCACACACATTGCCCTCTGTCCGTTTTGGTGAGGAGTTTCCTCTGAATAGTACAATGGGACTTAATTACAGGTCAGTGGCATGTCTCAGGGAGATAGAGGGAGCTCTGTTACCCTTCCAAATACAGTATAATGCCATCTTCCCAAGGGTGGGGTGGGGTAACAAGAGCTCTACACAAAAAGGTGCTGATAGGCTGAACCTGAGAATGGTATAAGGTGATCCAGGCAGAGAAAGTGAGCGTTTTACACTGAAAGAGAGAGAAAAGATAAAGGACTACATTAACTCTCAGAGGTTTTCTCCCATTCAGTATGCCCTCTTTGCTTTCCAGTCCACTTCCAACTTATCATCCCTGCCAACTTTCTTTGAGAAAAAAACAAGAGGGGGGATCAAAGACAAAGAGATTGTGGATTTGGAAATCAAAAAGTCGGATTCAGAGAAGTCCATGAAAACAGCTAAAGAAGAAAGTTCTGAGTTTAATACCACCTGTGGGGGAAGTTGAAAGAAATGCCTACAAACGTGCTCACAGTGCCTTTTACAAAAAGAATAGTCAGGTAGTGTTTAAAGAAAATAACCAGCATAAACATTTACACTGTCTGTAATGAAAGTAAAGGAAATGTGTTTTTATGGAGATGAGTGGTAACAAAGATCAGACAGTGAGATAAACATTAAAATATCAACAGGTGAGCAAATGGGAGTAAAATAATAGTAAAAAGTAAAGTCATTTATTTTTCCTCTTTAGCTTGTGACCCCGTATAGTAAGCTATATAAGAAGCTGTTAGTCGTATATTGCGGCCTCTCGTCACATTTCAGGTGTTATTGAGTTGTTATTTCCCCTGTAAACTTCTCACATGGTTTCATTTAAATAACTGTTTGACAGATTTGTGTCACAGAATTTTTTTTTTTATTTCTCCTTCCAATCACACTAATCAAACAACCCCCCTAATTTGTCTTGTGACAATACAAATGGCCTGACCTCTAGGTTGGAAACAATTGGACTTAACTACAAGTATCTTTAAAAAAAAGCTCCACTTCAACCGTCTACAAGAACAACATTCTATTCACACACAAATTAATACATTCTAATATGATATACGATAATGTGTCAGTCACAGGGCTAATTTTATGGAAACAGTACTTTTAAGTAAATCTGGCTGATAATGCTTTTACTTAAGATTAAATACAGGGCTCTCCTTATTTTTACATTGTGGTATTGGTAATTTTACTTCAGCAAAGGATCTGTGTACTTCTTCCACTACTGCATGTTACATATGTATCACATATATACATATACCAACCTGCATAGACAAATAAATACGCACACATGCAAACTAATAACCCAAATTAAATCAAATTATAAAACTACCTTTTGATAAAAATACAATTCCAAAGTGATTTTTAAGAGGATGCTGATTTTAAAAAGCTGTCTCAATGCTCTTACAAAGTGCTTGAAGAAACACTGTGTGCACACAACAGACACTAACTTTACTAACGTTGGTTTAGGTTCACACACTGAAACTGTGTCGTTCAGATGTAAACACGACACGACAGCGTTCTCTAGTGGCGCGTAGGACAGATCAAGTCCTGTTCCTGCTCAGTCAATCTAATGTTGGTTGGTGCCTTTATTTAGACATTTATAACTACATGCTTCAACATTAAAGTTTGGAATTCCCCAAATTTAAACAAAAGAAGGTCAGAAGAGCTTCTCTGTGTGTCCTAAAAGTCTGTTTGACTGGGACATAAAAAAAAATATCTACATATATAAATACACCACACAAATTATGAAGTTATTTTTTCTCGACTTGTCTTCTTTGTCTGCTTCGAGAGGTGATCTGTTGACTCTGCAGCCCTGCAGGCAACCATAACATCCCGTCAAGTTCATTTATTGTTTATAAATTGCACTTTGGTCACTGTTGGGGACTGGGGGAGTGGGGACAAAGTTCACAGGACGCATGTAAGAAGGAGGGGGTGAAGAGGAAGGTTAAAAAAAAGAAAATTGACCTTTGAAAGCAAAACAGCAGGTGGAGAGCTAAAACCAGGCAGCTCAGGACACATTGGGAGGAAATTCAACACAGGAAAAATGAAAGTATCTGTTCTTTTAAGCTGAAGAGGGACTTCAAATATAACAAGGCCCACCGCTCTGGCTGTCATTTGAGTGTGCTAGTGCACATGAGAGCAGTGTTTGTTTGCGAAGCGGAGGTGAGGTGAGGTAAGGCATCAGAGTAATGGAAGAGAGGTTAGACGAGAGGGCCGGAGCAGCCAAGGCGAAGCCGAATCGTTTGACCGGCCTTCAGGAGCAGCTGATCTGGGCCCTTCTGGAATCTGGACTGTCCCGGGACATCCTGGTCCAAGCCATAGGGGAACTGGAGCGAGACAGGACGAGTGCTGGTGCCGAGAGAGGAGAGAGAGGGGATGGAGAGAGCTCTGAGGAAGGAGAAATGGATTTCCCACCGCCTATATTCCGAGAGCTGGAGAAGCTTCTCCCCGAGGAGGCGGCCAAACTGAGGGCTGAAGTTGACCGGCTACTGCAGTAAGTAGATCCCAGCGCTTTAACTCCATGGTAACAGCAAATTCACCTTAATCTCTCACTAACTGCCAAATCCATCACATTTGTCTGTGCCTGTTTTGGACCTGAACTTTGAAAATACCTTGGCCACTTCATCAATGCTGTTTTTCTCTTTCACTTTCTCTATATCAAAACTAAGCAACAGTTTACCTGATAGCATCCCCTCTCTTTCTGTATTCTTCTTAATTTCCCCCCTCTTTACCAAATCCTCCCTCCTTCTCCTGCTTCTCTGTCTGCCTCTCTCTCTCTGCAATCTGGCTTCTGAGGCAAATTTAAAAAGGGTTCCTCCTTTGCTAGTTACTAATTACCCACCCCCAACATTATTCTCTGGCCATTTCTTAATAAATAAGCTACATGCATAGGTGAAGATTAATGGAGTAGGGCTGGTCTTGTGATGTTTACATAAGCCAGGAGCGATATTTCTACATCTTTGTCGACCTGTTTTCTGATATTTGGAATACATTGCGCACTTCGTATACTCAGCTGTGTATTTTTAAAAAAGGTTTAAAATACTCGCTAAGTGCCTGTTTAAAATATATTGTATTAAGTTTAAGTTAAGTTTACTGTCTAAGTCTGAATTTGTATCTGGTAAAGTCAGAGAGTTTTGAAATGTTGTGTATTTTATATGTTCCTGACCTGACAGTTAGAAAGCGTTAAATTAGGCTTCATAAACCTTTTACAGTTTTTCCCCTCCAGTGATCTGAAAGAGGACTTTGCCCTTGTGTGCTTTCCCTTATCTCTCTCTGTCAATAAGCCTCTCTGTACTTCCCTCTGAGTGGCCATGCTTTATGTCTCATGTTTGACAAACTGTTAAGCACTTTTCTAGAAAGGGTTTAAATGTAAAAAATAAAATAAAATAAAAACAAATAAACACAAGAACGTGAGGTGGGCAATATCACGCAATAACGGTGTCTTTGTCTAATAGGGCGGACCCCTGGCACGTTGCTAAAATTGTGAAAAGCTACATGCAGCAGCACAACCTCCCTCAGAGAGAGGTGGTGGAGTCCACAGGACTCAACCAGTCCCATCTCTCCCAGCACCTCAACAAAGGCACGCCCATGAAGAACCAGAAGAGAGCCTCTCTGTACACCTGGTACGTCAAGAAGCAATGCGAGATCAGCCAGCGTGAGTACACAAGCAGCTGTGGAGCTGCAAAGGCCCTCATTTCTGCTTTCAAACATACATCAAATATCAGTTCTCTAAGTGTGTGAGACTGAAAGAGAGTTGTAAACAATAAGGGGGGGGGATTACCAATCCTTTTCAGAATTTACCAATGCCAAACATGGCCTTGGATCTGCAGAAGAGCAAGGAGAAGAGACCAGGAAGGGACGGAGGAACAGGTTCAAATGGGGTCCGGCATCCCTGCAGATCCTCTTCCACGCCTACGAACGACAGAAGAACCCCAGCAAAGAGGAGAGAGAGGGTTTAGTTGAGGATTGTAACAGGTGAGACATAGTGATGATAAAAGGACAAACCAGGATTTTGTTTATCCATCGTAATTTTACGGAGTTGTTGTGTCACTACAAGATACAAATCATGGGCCAGATTGGCGAGGTTGGCCATTTGCTATTATCAAAGCCTCTAAAAGCTGCTGTCACAAGCTTCTTGGTGATTGAACCCATAGAAACACTGTGTGTACACAACAGCCCCTGACGTTTAGTAACACACCGGTTGCCACTCATGTCAGCTAACAACGGGAAACTTAGACTACAATTGGCCAAAAACTGGTCAATAGAAGATTGGGAAAAACATTGCCCGGTCTGATGAGTCTTGTTTTCTGCTGCAACATTCAGATGGTAGGGTCAGAACATGAAAGCATGGATCCATCCTGCCATCAAAGACTTACCAATGGGTCTCACTCACACCGGCTAAATGTATCGGCAAGTATGTATCAGTGTGCTCTTTCTCCCTCAGGGCAGAGTGTCATCAGAGGGGGGTGTCTTCCTCCCAGCTTGCTGGCCTAGGCTCCAATTTGGTTACCGAGGTCCGGGTGTACAACTGGTTCGCCAACCGTCGCAAAGAGGAGGCATTCCGAAACAAACTGGCTCTCGACACACCTTTCAGCAGCCAATCTGCTTCCTCTTCTCACCCCAACCTCCCACCAAGTCCTGAGCACGGTAATACCCTGACAATGTTCAGGCAAGCTTGAAGAGTGATGAATTGAAATTCAAGAGTGAAATCAAAACCTGCCTCCCGAAAAAAGGGAGCTAGACGAAGTTGGACTTGCCTCTGCCGGATCTCAAGACATTCTTGTCTTTTTGATCCCTTTGGGTTAAAACAATAACCAGCACACTCTTGTAGACGTGACTGCACTGGTTCTGAAAGTGTTTGCTTATACTTCCCTGTTACCTCATGCTGCATGTTGGAGCCATCAACCAATACATGCGTTTGATGTACAACATTTGTAAAATATGAACCCCGTCAGTGTTGCGAGGCCTGACTTCTTTTTTTCCAGGTGTCAAATACAGCCAGCAAATCCTGTGTGACACCGTGAGCTCAGCTAGAGGAAGCATAGGGGACAGAGTGGGTCATCTGGTGGTCAGCCCCATCCAACTGGAGCCCAGCCACACACTCCTCGAGACACATAACCACAAGCCGGTGAGAGCACGTGTCATGGTCCTAGTTTATATTGCGTAGACTACCTGTATGCACTGCTGCCATCGTAACCGTTGCTGTCCTCTGGTCTCTCAGGTGTCCAGCGGTGGCCCACTGCCCCCAGTAAGCACTCTGACCTCGCTGCATAGCCTGTCTGCCTCCCCTGCTTCCTCACAAAACCTTATTATGGCCTCACTGCCCAGCGTCATGAGCCTGGGGGAGTCCTCACTTCTCATTGGTAACATCGCCTCTCTAGTTTACTCTCTTATCTATGCAGGAATAAAAAAGGAAGAAATCAGAGAACAATGTTGTCTTTGACAGGTTTAACCTCCATGCAGCCTCAGACCGTGCCTGTAATCAACAACATCGGGGGAAGCTTCACAACTCTCCAGCCAATCTCATTCCAGCAGCAGCTTCACGGCTCTCCCCATCAGCCTATATCACACCACCTCCAGAGTCACATGGGGGCCAGTCCCTTTATGGCAACCATGGCGCCGCTGCCATGTCACAGTAAGACCACAGCAAACAAACGTCATGAGTTTTAACGTGTTATGTTGAGTGAAGACTCATTCATCTGTTCCTCATTACAGTGTACAACAAGTTGGATTCGCCGCAGTACCACACGTCCAGTCTGCTGTCTCAAGCCATGGTCATCACCGACAGCAGCAACCTGGGGACGCTGACCAGCCTCACCGCTGTCAGACAGGTAACAGAGTCTGACGCGTAGGTTGATCTGTTCGAGAACGAATAATCCAGTAAACGCTGCCATTGATTTTCCTTCTCGGTAGAATCTAACAGCAGATCCCGAGGAAGAGACGGACCCACCTTTACAAGAAGACTCTCTTCACCTGCAGCCGCACACACCTGTGCCAGGTACACAGCTGTAAATACAGGTTTACTCCTTGACGTCAACATCCTATTACAACATCCTTGGGAGGACATGATTTCTAGTTAAGAAAATTTCAAAGGGACCGCCTTCCTACAATTGATTTTTGACCTTTCAGCATGACACAATCAAACTGGACTTATTACATTTGATCACATAACTCCACACAGTCCTCATGGAGATTTTAAAGGAGTATTCAATGCATTAATTGCATGCAAAATGTATTTTTTAAGGAACACAACTGCAACATTTCACATTAAAAACACAAACCAGTATACAGGTGCATTACAACCACCTACTCTACTAGACTGGAGTTTAGAGCGTCAAACAAACAAATCCAAAGAGTTGTTTACTAAATAAACAAATCAAAATGATCTTATCCAAGTCAATTTATTTTAAGTAGTTAAATAAAGAATGTCTTCCCAAGCAGATTGTCTAATTAAATCAGTTTTTTTACTTCCTTTAGTGGTGATACTTCAAGTTGCCTCGATCCTCATCATATCTTCAACATTTCAGTAGTACATGTCCAACACATTCTTGTTGTTTACAGTGTGCATAATCCAGTTACATTTACTTATTTTATGATGCGTTAGATTGATATTGTAGATATCTTTCTGTATGATTGAACTCAGTATTCTTTCCATATTTTAGCATAAAGTTTAACATCGGCTTTACTTAACAGAAACTACATGTTGGCTGTTTTTAATATATTTATTTGTCAACAGCTTCCTCCGAGAGCCTTGAGCTGTATCCTGCCTCTCAGACGACAGAAAGTCATCAGTCTCACCTTCTCTCCCCTTCACCAACAGACATCAGCTCCTACATCCCGACACAAATGGTCTCTACTGCACAGTAGAAGTGCTCTGGCAACGTAGTGTGTCTCCTCTATCGGCTGGACTTTGTGTTTTGGATGGACAGCTACTTCTGGTGCAAATTTCCAGAAAAACTTGTGGAGTCACGGGCCACAGAGATGATACAGCTTTCATGTTTCAAAGACTCTCTGAAATTCCGTACCACTGTAATACGAAGGATTGACATTAGAGAAAATTCACTTTTGATACAATAATAAACTGAAAAATCAACACCAAAATGTATTTTTATTAAGATGTTTGGTAACATTCAGAAACTGTACATTAAGTTGAAACTTGTAAACGGCATGTTAACTGCATTGTTTACGTCACTGCCTTGAAATGGCTTAAATGAGTATCTTTCATGACAAAGAAAAGTCTATTTCAAGAATAACCACGAGCAATGGAATCAAAAGAGGTTTCTGTTCGGATACACTTTTGCTGTCATCTGTTTGGACACACACGGCTTCCTTAAATATACTTAACATTTTTTGGGGAAATATATTTCAAGCTTGACGGACTGGATAACAAACAAACATCCCAAAACAGTGAAAGATTGGTCATTAGTTCAGTTCAAAGCTTCTTCCTCTGTGTGCAATTTTCTTTGCTTCTTTTTCCGTTTCACTTTGACCTGTGTGTGTTCCTGCTCTGAGATCCCATGCTCACCATTTCTTTGAGCATTATGAGGACCACCTGCAGAGTCCACCTGCTCACCCCCTTCTTGATTCGCTTTCCTCTTTTTCTTTTTCTTCTTCTTCTTCTTCTTCTTCACAACATGACTCTCCTCTCCCTCTGCCACTTTCCTCTTTAATTTTTCTGCTGAGGGAGTGTAGAGTGCAGAGAGCGGTAACGATTCGGATAAGAGATCTTTGACGGACACCGCTGCCTCCCTCAGCCTTGTTTCCATCTCACTGTCGCTGTCACTGTGACCAACAGAGGAGCGTATAATGTTAAGGACTATACAAACTAATGAGGTTCTTTAAAAACTAAATAATACGAACCTTGAGCTGGGAAGAGGCCGACGCCTCACAGGAGCTGGGGGATCATCGGCTGGCTGTCCCGGTACTGATGTAGAAAGCAGACGAAATCCTAAAAAAAAAAAAAAAGGCAAAAACAGAAAACATGTGGATCATTGTGCATGTAAGGAGAAGATAGCAGAATCCCCATAAAAGCAGCATAATAAAGAGAAACTTCACCTTCATGATCATCATCATCACATTTTGCTGATTCCACACAGGATACAGTTTCAGTACACATTTCTGCAATGGAACTGAGAGTAACAGGCACAGTATAAGCCAGGTGTAAAAACATGTGCATTATGAGATTATTGCATTAAAATGCCAGACTTCTCGACACAGCCAAACTACGTACCTGTCGAGAAGATGTCCCAACTTTTTAGCAACGTGTGTTCGAAACCCTTGGGTGACCTGGAGCTCGTTGCCATCGTGTTCGTGGTCAGCGACAACAAAACTGATGCACAGAAAGACAACAGTCAAACATCTGGCATTCAAATATCTGCATGCAATGCAGACATTGTACCATTAATAGAAAGCCAAGCTGCACCTGTCGCACGTTTATTATATAGCTATAGCTGGAATACTTGAACTATAGTTTCCTAAATGAAGGAAGCTAAACAGCTACATAGGCTACTTACACTGTGTGGAGATACAGAAACTAATTGACAGCTAGCTCTTCTTTCTTCCCAATAATGGTTTATAGTTTGAGGTTATGTTGACAAATAGGCTTACCGCTTTGACTGCGTCACATTGCTGTCCCCATCTGAAACAAACACAAACAGGTAAAATACATTTGATAAAATACTCTGAAAAAGAGTTTGAATGGACGAGCAGCTTAAAAGCAGAACACTGACTGCGAGAGGTTAAAGCAAGCTAATGAAGTCCAATCAAATATAGTATATTTTAGACAGTTACGTAACTTTAACCGACGTGTATTTACAACTACCACCTCTGCATCGGTGGAGTATTCTGTAGGACTCCTCACAGGCTCATGTCGTGTTTCTACTGGAGTTTATCTGTCTGTGCAGAAATACTCACTTCGTCTCTCACTTCTAAACTAAAAGAGAATCGTTCACCTTTCTTTTCGTCCGCTCGTGTCTCCCAAACTGCCTCCTGACATCTTTTTAACACCTCATCGTCACTACTGCTGGAGTCGTCAGAAACACCAACCATCTTTCTAGCGGGGGCCGCCATGATAACGCATGTGCTGCTGGTGTTGTCTGTTTGGAGCTGAGGATTCTGGGTAATGCAGTCTGTTCGTCAAGGAGAGTTGTGTGGACAGAAACGAGGCTTTTTAACTCAAGATTTGTGCTTTTATTCATCACCGTCTTCATACACAACTGTTTGATCAAGACCAGATCAGACTGGAAATAAAATAAGTCACGGTAGTTATATTTAAATCCTCACTATACTCACAGATGAAGTCAAACATCTACAAAAACAATGTAATAGATTTCCCAGTTTACATTTCTAATATAAAGTTTAAAAAATGACATGGAAACTTGACCATAGTCATGTGATATTCAAAATATTAGGTTTGCAACAACTATCCAGATGTATGTAGGTTTAAGAATGTCAGCAGGCACAAATATAGCAGATTTAGTGTAAATGTACATAAAGACTTGTTTGTTCTTGGCCGGCCACATAACCAAATCATACTGTATGTCACATGTTTACCATGCAGCTGGAAGATAGAAACCCCCCAAAATCCCTAATCATTTACTTATATTGATTTTTATTGTTTTGCAGTTTGCCATTTTTATTTACAATGAATCTGATATGACATGAATGTATTATTTGTAAAATTAGCCAATACAAAAAGAGTCTTTGCGACAGGTTACAGAATGGATCCATACATTTTTGGGTCCCCCAAGTAGTCTTTTAGTGCATACAAAGTGTAGCCACTTAGATTATCCAATTTTCCTACCACTGACTGATACTATATGGCAAAGCAATGTCTTTCTAGCTCTTACAACACCAGTGCTGCTAACCAGCAGCCCAACATACGTCCATTTAAATCCAATTGATTAAAAAAAAAAGAGGTTCTATGGGGTCATGGACTGAAGGCTGCGGCTGTCCAAGTGTGTTCCTGATAGCACACTTGTTGGAGTTATAAATGGGCTACATAACGGTTTGTCACTGTTTTTGAACTGTAAAATTCCAAATTGTATAAGAGTAAATAAGAGTATGTTTCACACGAGGCAGTACTGCAATATTTTTTCTCTTCATTTCAGCCAAACAGGTGGATGATGCACAACGGTCTCTTACATAAAAAAACAACAACCTAAAAACGAACACCTGGCTATAAGGCACATGGAATCAATGTTACAATGTACAGTTAATGGATCATGTGTGTAACATTTGAAAACAACCGTTAGACTATTCCAGTGGTTTTGCATTAATTAAATGCCTTTCAGGCAGCTGCTGATTTCCATTCATGTCTGTATAAAGTGAAGCTCTGAGAAATGTAAATGGCGAATCAGACATCCCAACCTCTCAGGAACACCCTTCAGTGGATAGAATACAATTCAACAGCAACATCGGCCTCTTAAATAAAGTGATTAAGTGTCACCAAAATGCGCATTGCGAGCTTAATGAAGGTAGGATTTTTTGCAAGGCTGTTGTGCACAATGACGTTACATTGTTCAGGTGTACCTAATAAGAATGGAACCATGTGTATAATAGAAATATTACACAATATTTAGTTAATGAGCTACAATATGCAAAACCACCAGTATAGTCCTTAAAACAGGGCTTCTATGAAAAGAGAAACATGTCTGCATCTATCAAACCGCCTCATTAAAAATAGATCAACTACCAAGCTACATCAGTCTGTACGGTCATGTGTGCTACTGTGTATTTAATTGATAGATTGAGAACCTGAGTGCAGAGCGGCAGAGGATGCATTCAGCAACCAGTTTAATAGGTACACCACACCGCTGGAAAACTAGAGTGGGATTCCCAGTGCTGTTGTGCCAAATAAGTCAGGAAGACTCACCTCAAGGGGTTAAATAACTGTGTGTGCTTACACATTGGAGTGGATAAAGGGAAAGATCAAACTGTTTGAACCATGGCATATAAAGCAAGTCCAGGAAGTCAGATTATGCTGTTATCTAATGCTATTCATGTATCACAGTGTGTTTCAGAGTTTGATAGAACAAACACTCGATTCCCAGTCAACAGCCAATTAGGTTGTAAAAAACTGTTGTCATAAAAATGTAACAGATATTAGCAGAGGGAACAGCTGGCATCAGGAAAACGGATCATGCCATTCTTCAATAATAAACTACTAAAGATGAGATTGGTCAGCCTAATGTTCCTTATAAAACCGAAACCAAACTTAAATATCTGACACGAACAGTCCAAATGAATGACAACTGATAGGTATTTAAGCAAGAATGAAACTCAAACAATGTCAACTAATGCTACATGATCCTCTACGATTAACAATACTGTAAAACATCTAGTTAATGCTCGCTTTTCCTTATGGGAAACACAATTGTCACTTGCGAAAGTAGTTCCAATAAACATCAACTGATAACATCTCTATACTAAAGTAAATTAAGTGATAGCTAACACAGTCTAAAGGCTTTGCCATGAGAGGTCTTTGACTCAAAGTGTCCCTTTCCAGCAGAGACGGCAAGAAACTTAAGGCAAAAGTGAAACATGATACTTGAACGACAAACCGAAAGACGGAACAAAAATGTTTCAGTCAGGATTAACAGAGAAATATTTGACTGAACATTCCTCGGAGTCACAGAAACTGAGCTCAATGAGGTACTGATGAATGGATCCATGATTTCATATGAAGGCAGATGTGGTCTGTTGGTTATAAAGAATGTTGTCAAGTTCGGTGGAATGTCCACAAAAGGAGTGAATACTGTCCCCCAAAAAAGAAGCCTTTGGGTGGTTGTGATGCAGGAAATCAATCCCCTGGGAAGTATTGCAATCATCATCCACTCAAGTATTACAGACCACCATTGTAGGCATAGTCTGCCTTGTTGTGCATGATGAGTTTGTTGTCAACAAAGTAGAAACTGTCTGATCTGGTCTCGTAAGGGTGCGCCACCATTTGGCGAACTGGAGGGTAATAAGGAAGAAAAGAGCGAAGGAAGGACAGATGAAACAAAGATTAAAAAATGGATTCTTATGTGAAAATATGCATGCAACAGCATTAACATCAGTGGCTGAGTAAAGTAAACTCACTGAGGTCATCTGGAAGCTGTGGAAACTCATAAATGTGTTCACATGTGTTGCGGCTGTTGGGAATGCAAAATCCAAAATCAAAGTCGAAGTTCTTCAGAAGGCGTCCCTGGAAGTAATGCCTCTCAATCATACGAAAGCTGTTAATAGGCCGGTCGCCCACTGTGAACTCCACACTGAGGTTTAGAAACAGAAACAACTTCATTCAGCTGTGAACATAAAAGTCTGATTAACATGCTCTCAGTTTATACGAGCCAGAAAGTTACGGTTCATTTACTTACGTTGCACCGACTGTGCACAGTTTTAGGAAGGCTGGTGTAAACTGATATCGCACAAAACGCCCTGCGCTGATGTCTGCATCTCCACTCTCTTCTTCACCCTCCACGGGACCTAATACAGAAAACATGTTCAGCTGGCTTTCATTAAAAAAAAATTACAATAATTAGTAGGGTGAGAGCAACTGTGCTGAAAAGGTGTAAAAGTGATTATACATTATACGCAGAATATGTAAGATACTATTGTCTGTCTCATGCTATTGCTCAACATGTTAAATGTTCTGTCTTATCAAAAAATTATAGAAGTAATAATTCACCAGATATTTAAAAAAAACTGATGAAACTACATTTTATATAGTTTGGTTGTTTCCACATTTTGTTCTAAAATCTGAATACATTACATGCATTTGTTACTTGTTCAAATTAAGCAATGAAAAGAGGCCTCTACTTGTGGGACTTTCTGTTCTCTTATATATGTATTTCTGGTGAGAGCAATACCCAGCATGCCCCTGGGAACGACTGCTGTTCTCATGCTTGGTGACACAGAGCTTTGTTGACTGTGCAACACCTGCGGGCTACAACTGAACACCATCTGTGTGTCTGTCTACATCCTTCTCCAAGTGACGATCTAGATAAAAATCAACTTTCATTGAGCAGCTACATCGCAAGGAAGTGTAAGCAGACAATCAACAGCTTGACAGAGCTTTGGCTGGACAAGAAAACAGGTCTTGTTGAGTGAAATAAATCTCCCTTTGTAAATAGTTTGTATGAGGCAGAAGTTAATGTGTCACTTACTGCTGTTTGGAGGTTTGGCAATCTCAAACAGCACTGTTCCCGTCTCCAGATCTCTGATTTTGAAACGTGTGAAGTCAATGTTGTAGATATTGTCTTCAGGTTTGCACAGATAGTCTGGAATGTGAAAAAAAAAAGAAAAAGTGCAAGCTCATGTTAAGACAAATTCAAACATTTAGCAATCTGACAGCAAGCAAGCAACCATTAGCTATCAGTGGTACTTCTTTGATATTTGATTAGATTTACCAATACTTATGCTTCGGAGCACAAAGGCTCATCCTTAAATATGACTTGATGAGCAACTAGGGTTTCAGTATCTGTTTTCTGACTCCTGAACCTCGCAGTAGTTGTTGAGTAATGCTATAGTGATAGAAAAGGGAAGCAATGCCATTGTTGTCTGGTCCGGGAAAGGCCAAATGAAACAATGGAAGCCATTAAGTATTCACTACAACTGTGGTAGACCGGTTGTAGGATGACTCAGACGGTTGAAGCGCAACAGTTAGTTATAAGTTGGGTTAGGTTAGTCGCGATTCCAGGAGACCAAAGAGAAAGGGGCCAAAAAATATTGGATTAAATTACTTAAAGCTGCACTTGAGACTAAACACAAAACACAATGTTTTGTAGTGAATAGACCTGCATTTGTTAGGTGGAAAGAAACATGACTGCAAATTACTTTGTATTTGCTAAAGGATGACAATATGTTGTGTTTAAATCGGTTTGTTTTCCCCCAACTCACCAGAAAAAACAGCTGTTAATACAGGGGGCCCTGGATAATATTACTTCTGGGGGGCCCAAATGCCTTACTACGCCCCTGGATATATCCTACTTTTAAGTTAGTTTAAATGCCCAACTCAAAACATAGCTAGACACATGCCAACGTTAACGCTACCTGTTTGACCAAATTAACACTGTGACTATATTCATTACAATTAACGGACACAACTCATCTGAAAACTCGTCACTTAGCCACCATTAGCATCGGGTATATGGTGCCCGTTTAGGACCAAGTTAACGTTCACACGTCTTACCCTCCGTGACTGCCCGGAGACCCAGCACATTGTCCGGGGTAATATCTCTCCCCAGAGCCCGGAGTTCATCCTCTGTGACCACGGGCCACTTCTCCGTCTGACTGCGCCTCGACTTCAGCTTCTTCAGCATTCCTCCACCTGTCTTTCTCTCCCTGTGCTTCGTCTCCGAGCCGCTGCTGTCTGCGTCCGTCGGACCTCTGCTGACTGTTGGGGCCAATTTGTTTTGCGAACCGTTCATAACCTGATGCAATAATGGAGAGAGAGAGAGAGAGAGAGAGGTTGTTTTTTTTATTTGGGAGCGATTTGACAAACTGCGGGTGTAATTTCAAGATGGCGTACAACGTGTATGTGAGACAAAAAAGGGAGCTTGTGATTGGTTAACAGCGATGGATATTGTCATAGTTACCAAAGGGGTATGAACGGTTTGAAGCCCCGGACCTCCGTTTTCTTCTTCAACCGTTATCGCTCTTAAAAACCAGACCGTGTTGTCGGGTTTACAAACTGCCTTTGATTTCTCTGAGGATAAGGGTGATAATGATGTTCATAATTGAACTATTACTAATTGTATTCTATTATTGTATAGTTTACTTGTATCGAGCGTGAAGTACACCCAGCAACGCAACTAATGTCCAGCGTGTGGCGCTAGTGCGACTCTCCGGGCGGTAGAGAGACTTCTGTTGACGGAAGTTCCCACGGAAGAAGAGACGAGCTGCGATGGTGCGAGTGAAGTCCAGGTAAAATGTGCTCCTCGTGTACTGTTTGTTCACAATGGGTGTGTGTTCACAGTTTGTTTCTTTGGTTGCTAGGTATTTACTGTGCGAAATCAACGTTCAAGACAGGAGCTGCTTGTTGCTGCTGGATGACCGAGCTGTTGCATTGGCAGTGAAGGCAGCGGTGGCCCGCACACACGGGGACTATGGGGCGGCTCTCTGCAGCAGCAGGTTCTCTGGTAAGCAGTGGTTAGACGTGTGTAAAGTACAAAAATCACAATCAAGTAAAAATCCCGCGTTTTAATTAACATTAAACACATATAACCAGATAATATAGTCCTCACGTTACGTAAATTGTAACAACTAAAAGTACTTGTGCAGCAGAATGGGCCCATTCTGTGTTATGATTACATTTTTGCTTTCTTTTTAAGCTGAATTTGTTTACAATTTCTGTTGCATGAGCATGTTGACAACATGTCCATGTTGGCCATTGTGTCTGGCCATTTTAGCTTTTTTTACACTGTTATGTAGTTTAATCTCGGATAATTCATCAAATTTTATAAACTAACAGATTAAAATCTTAAAGTGCAGAGTAAGTAGTACCAAAACTGTCAAATAGATGAAGTGGAGTAAAAACTTTACTATTCACCTGTGAAATTTGGTGAAGTAGCATCAATGGCGAGTAAAGTACACAAATTCTTGTCATCCACAACTACATTTTAGATACACGAAGATGGCTTTAGTGCTGAAGTAATATCATTCAGTTTAGGTTTCCTGGAAACACGCTAGATGCAGGGTATGTTTAGATGCATTGACATGAGAATGTTAAGTATTCCCCCAGCCCTTCAACTCAGTGTTAACTGAGCTCTCACTGTTCTTTTCTTTTGTTTCTTTTCAGTGAAATATCTGAATGCTCATACTGGAATAGTATTCCTGCGTTTCCCCAAAATGTGTTACAAACTCCTCTGGTCTGCATTGCCTTTCATTACCTGTATTGAAACTCGTGGGCAGAAAATCTCATGTTTTCTGAACTGTTTGCATGTGGGAGGTGAGAAAAACATCAACACACATCCCATAATGAATCAGACATACCCTTTGACAATCTTGAATATGAATTGGACACTAATTAAAGATGTATGGTTTTTTTCAGGAACAATTAGAACATGTCAGAAGTTTCTGATCCGATACAACACCCAGCAGCTCCATCGAATGCTACCTAAATGTAAAAATGAAGGTATGGAATTCAATTGCATCATTCATACTGAACTCTGCAATATGTGGTCCATTTATTTATTCATCTATTCATTGAATTAGAATCTGTCTTACAGGATGTATAGAAACATTTCACTTAACCTAAGGTCCTTTTGAATTTTGTATTGCAGTCTTTAGTTTCTTGAGACAACAGCATTGAAAACAATACTTTGATCACAAGATGGATGTAAGAAAAATGGCATTTGACTGCTTCTTCCTCTTTCATTTGTAGAAGAAAAACAACAGATACGGAAATCAATTCTGAACTGCACTCTTACAAGAGGAAACAGGGAAGAATTTGAAGATTCAGAGAGTGAGGAAGATGAAGAAGAGTGACTTCACAGCATACAGTAAAGGGCGGCATTCAGTTTTTGTTTTACGGGACTGAAATCAAGCATTTGAAGAAATGCATACCCAACTCTGTGGAAATATGGTTCATACTGCAGCTGCTCAGAGCTCTTGTTTGTAAAGAAAACTGACTGACTGTATGCTTGTCTTCAATAGAGGGACACATTAGATATGTTTGGCACATTAATTGTTTGGGTTGGCAGAATGGCCTGAGTCCAGTGTCCTAATTCTGAAAAAAGCGTTTTCATGTTTCAATGAAATATTTTGTATTTATACTGTTTTATGGTCATGCTTATTTTGTTTACAAATTAAAACACTGTTTTTGAATACACTGGTTTTGTCCTTGGTGTCCTAAAAATTCTTTTGTACACACCCAAACATTCACAAAATTAGTGTTAAACAGTTGGTAAATTATTTAGTTTAAGATGCAAAAATGTCTACATTCTATCGATATCAGCCTACATAGCATAACCTTTAACAATACTGCGCCATACCGTGTCAGGGTGTTGATTACTTAACCCGTTTATCACCTAAAACCATAGACTGTATATAAGAAGTCTAAAAACCTGTTACGTTGATACATAGCCAACAAAGCTTCTTCGACTACATTTCCCATAATGCTTAGTTCAGACTACTAAACAGATTTGCAAGCGGCACAAGAAACATCCGGGTCTCTCAGGATCCCGTTTGGCGACCAGTCGCCATTAGTGCAAGCCCGTTGTAACGGACATATTTTTTTGGTTAAAATCTCTAAATTGACTCTTTTTCCAGCTTTTGGAAAACATTTAACGTCTTGTTAAGGGCATTTTGATTTCCTTAACAAGTAAAAGCCTTAAATTCGGGGGTCCTGGCCCCGCGTGGCGAGCTTTCGTCCTCTACCAACAGCCTTCATAAATTGAGACGCCGAAATCGTGTCTCTTATTTTTTTTTCCTTGTTTTATAGTCAAGATGTCACCGTGATGGAGTCTCCGTGTTTGACAGAAATGAACCAGGGCCTTCGTCGCCTGACCCGCACTCACTACTGCCCGATTTCCCCTTTTGTTTTTCCGTTTGATGTTAGAGAGCTCGGTGGCTCTCTACCCGCAGCTCTGCCCCAGAACCGCTCACTGCACGGAGACAAACATGGAGAAAACCCCCAACAGCAGCACCAACACCAAGGTTCCGCCCCGTTCCAGCTCCACAGGCCCAACATCGGCCGACTCTAAACCCAAAACAGGTGAAAAGACCTCGGTGCACAACACAACCGTCGCTCGAAGTTGTCAAACATGGTGTACTCTCAGCTAAACAGTCTTTGCCTTATGGCCTGCTGGGGCCTAGCAGTAGCGCAGAGGTTGTTTATCTGGTACGGATGACGTCGTTGTCAAACATTTAGCCCTCTCACAGTCAGAACTGTAACGTTATCTAATACTTGCACACAACACTATATATGTAATACCCGTTGCCCTGTATTTATGCACCGCAGTTGGATGCAGAGACACATTTTAACAATCAACTTTTGCAAAAAGAAAGTTGTACCTTGAACAATTTCTTTATTTTATTTACACAACAATCGATGAAGTGACTTAATGTTTGCACCTTTTTTTTGTATTGCATAATTCGTCATGCACATATTTTGTGTACAGCTAATATATGTTTCCTAAAGATGTGTGGAAGTTGTTCATGGCATCAATAAATGTTAAACACCACACTTTGAAGCTGGACAATCGGTAACCTAAAGAGGCTGCCCCTTTTTATTTTAGTGGTCAGTTCTGTAGTGTGCTGTATGTGGGTTGCATACAAGGATTTCCTCAGCTGGAGTGACAGTTTACGGAAGGCCTTATTGTAACCCATAGCACTAATGATAGATGTAATTACAAATGTTTACATGGCTACATGAAACTAGGTTACAAAGCCCCCCATATTACTTTCTTTTTTCCTCCAGGACTTTCTGGTTAACATCTTTAAAATCAGGCACTAGCAAAATATATATGTTATATTGAAGGATAATATTTCTGTTTGTGTTGCTTATACCTTTTTTTTTTTTTTCAGAAGGTAAAAATAATGGAGGCTCCAAGCGCTACGGGCGCAAGCGCGAGCCCTCCCTTCCTAAAAGTGAAAGTTTTCAAGGCTCTCGCCACACCAATTCACAGAAAAGCAAGAATTTTGACAAGAGACCCCCTCAGAGAGGTGGAGCGCGACAGTATGGAGTTACAGGCGGAGGACGACGGGAGGAGGTTGGTATTCCTAATGGATCATCCTTTAAAGAAGAAAAAACATTATCTTATATATTTGAAAAAAATGTCAGCAGCTCAAACATGCGTTACAGATTCTTCTCCACTTCTGCTTCTCCAGGTAGCAGAGACACGCCGGGCCGAGTTTAGCCCGGCTCAATTTGCTGGACCGAAAAAAATAAGCCTCAACCACCTGTTGAACTTCACCTTTGAACCCCGCGGAGGTAGCGGTGGCATCGGAGATGGAGGCCACTCCGGTTGGGGCCGCCGAAACAAATGGGGCCACAAGCACAAGCCCTTCAACAAGGAGCTGTTTCTGCAGGCCAAGTAAGCAACCCCTCCGTACCCAACATGAAACAGATGTGGCAAACAGATGTGCGAGTTAACACACTTTGTGTGTTTTAGTTGCCAGTTTGTGGTGACTGATGACCAGGACTACAAGGCTCACTTCACTGATCCAGACACTCTGGTCAACTGGGACTGTGTGGAGCAAGTGGTGAGTGCCTGTTATCTGTTGAACTGTGCTACCAGTACGTGTGTATAAGTAATAAAGCCCACATTCATTTACATACTAATGCACGTAATCACAATCCGCTTGTGTTCGTCTACAGCGCATCTACAGCCACGAGGTGCCGTCTTGCCCCATCTGCCTCTACCCTCCTTTGTCAGCCCGCATCACCCGTTGTGGACACATCTTCTGCTGGCCGTGCATGCTGCACTACCTGTCTCTTGGTGACAAGAGCTGGTCCAAGTGCCCAATCTGCTATGAGGAAGTTCACACCGCTGACCTGAAGAGGTAAATAAGAAATGAATAAAGCCCTGTAGGCTAACTCTGAGGTCAAAGAAAGCAGTAGGAGAGGAGTACATCTTTCTCTTAACAAGGAAAACAATAAAGCCTTCACATAGAGGCAGATTAATTTGACTTTATTTTGGTTTGGTTGAGTTTCTTTGACAGTTACTCTTAACAATTGGTTCCTTTTTGGCAGTGTGGTTGCGATGGAGACCAGGCAGTATGTGGCTGGAGATGTGATCACCATGCGCCTGATGCAGAGGGAAAAGGGTGCTCTGGTGGCCATGCCTAGCTCTCAGTGGGAGAAGGTGGAGGAGCCTGTTCGCTTTGGTGGTGAGACACAGGGGCATCTTTTATGAAAGAGTCTTAATTTCCTCTAAGCATCATAGTCTTCAAAATGATTTTATATGGCTCACAGTAATTCTATAGCACCTTCTACATACAGACTTTTTATGTCCTTGAAGTTGGGTTATGTTGTTGGAAGATTCACTACTCAATTTTGAATGTTGTTTTCTAGATACGTGTCTTAGCCCGTACTCCAAGCTGCTGCTGACCTCCGCGATGCAGGTTCTGAGCTTGGTGGCAGAGGAGAAGGATGTCCTGCAGGCTCAACTCAGCCAGGAGGGGGACGCCCAATGCTGTTTCATCCAAAGCGCCCTGTGTCTTTTGCAGGTAACTGAAGCTATACGCCTCTCTGTGACCCCACACAATTCGGTTTTGTTTGTCTGCAGTCAAAAATGAACCAATAGGTTGTACATGGTTAACAAAAAATCACAGTATGAAATGAGTACATTCAAAATATATAAATGCATGAAAAACAATGATAATGTCTAACAAGTAGGTTTTGGCTATGCCACTCAATGCATGTTTCTCTTGCGTGTTTCCAGGTGAAATATGAAACTTACTTTATGACTAAAACTATACATACCTGTACACTGACATTTACCTCTCTAACTGTGTGTCTTTATGTTTTAGGAGCGGGAGGAAATGCTGCTGAAGCAGCAGAAGGCAAATGTCAGAGACAGTTTTGATCTGTCCTCTCTGACTCTAGAAGAAACTTCTCCTGTGGAGGAAGTGGTCACTACCATCAGCAGCACCAAGGTGAGTCTAAAAATGCATATTTTAAACATTCTTGTTTGACTATATTTTATCTATTGGTGACAGGATCAAATGATCTTACTTGCATATTCTCCCCCGATGCCGTAGCTTCTACTTCTATTATATGGTGGTATGCTACTGATTTGTAAGAGATGTCTGTCTTTCCTTTGGTAGCCTGTGCTGCAGTACTCCTCTGCATTTGATGATGAGGTGGCTGAGGTCCCAGATGTGACAGAGGAAGCCACTGCAGAGCTGCCAGGCTTCCCTGAAAGTATTTTGGAGAGTGTGCTTGAGGAGCCTCCAGAGTCTATGATGGGTGCAGCCCCAGAGCCCCAACCTGAGGAGGAGAGCCGTGCCAGCAAGGCCGAGTCAGGCCGCCCTTCAGCCAGCGTGGTGCACGGACCCTACTACTATTTCTACCAAGGTGCTTAATTCCCTGCTCTAAACATAACTGGACAATCTTGTACATAGTAATTGAAACAAAGTTATGGAGTCTGACCATGAAAAGGTGCAGGAACTAGTTTGTCTTGGCTGTAGGTTTGTATTTTAAGTTTCAGTGTTGACGTTTCTTTTTGTCTTTTCTTTCCTTTCACATGCGTCCGTCCAGCTGATGACTGCCAGCAGATGTTCCTGCATCCTGTGAATGTACGCTGTCTGTTGCGTGAATACGGCAGCTTGGAGGCCAGTCCTGACTCCATCACTGCCACAGTGGTGGAGATAGTGGGACACACAGTCACTGAGGTCAGCAAAACAAAGAAACACAAATCAGATGCCATTCCGATCATTTTTGGTTTAGCTTTTTCAGCAGATAGAGGGATGGGTGTTTTCAAGTTTTAGGCAGTATTTCTTCTCCCCAAAAGCTGATTTTACAATCTTCTACTATAACCTGCATACGTTACAACTTTAACTCTTTGAAAATGGCAACCCAATTTATTGCTTCAGCTGACTTTTCATACATGGCTCTGTTACAGGACATCCGTCGCCGGCATCGCTATCTGGCACATCTGCCACTCACATGTGAGTTCAGCATCTGTGAGTTAGCCCTTCAGCCGCCAATCCTGTCCAAAGAAACTTTGGACACATTTGCAGGTTAGAACACTTTGCCTTTTCTCAGAATGTGAATTTACAGTTGTAGCAAGGAGATTTTTTTATTGTACCTGTTGATTGTATATATTTTCCTGCAAACTACTAGATGACTTGGAGAAGAGAAAGCACCTGAGGCAGAAGAAAGCAAGGGATGAGAAGCGCAGAGAGAAGCGAATTGAAATTGAGGAGAACAGGAAGCAGGGTAAATGTAAGTACAGCAGTTCAGGTCACAAGAGGAAAATCACGCTTCCAGAAAGAATGTACACACATCTGAGAGATATTGGACTGAGGTTTGTAACTGTACTTGCATTCATATGTTCCCCAGATCCAGAGGTGCATATTGGATTAGAGAACCTTCACCATTTCCCAGCATTTGGATCTCCTCCTCACAACAGCAGCCACCCAATGCAGCCTGACTTCACCTTTGCCCCCTCTTCACCTCTCAGCTGCAGTCCTTCCTCTGGTGAGAGAAGCTCCTTTCTCTGCACTTTATTGTTCCTTTCTATAAATGTAATCTCTGCCTGTTCATGGCTCATGCTTAAGCAGTTGAACGTTGTGAGATGAGCGTTCCTTTTGTTGTTTTTAGATGGGATGATATTCCCAAATCTGAATGGGCAAAGCTCTTCACCCATTGTGGGTAGTGTCGAGGATGACTCCCACTGCATGTCCTTTGCACAGGTGTGTATGGCAAACACACAAACAGCAACATAATGAATTGAGACTGCCTTTGTCATAAGGCAAATGCATCACGTAACTGAAGGGCTTATATTTTATAACATAACTTGTATACTTGACATGTTCCCGTGTCCTAGATGCTAAGAGATGGGAAAGCCAGAGGTGATGCTGGGCCCAGGATCACTCCAAAGACGGGTAGTGCACGATTGTAGATGCTGATGTGACTAGAATATGTAATGTTACAATTCTAATAACAAAAAATAAATTTAGTACGATTCAGAAACTTGCCATACTCTAATGTGTGCTGTACGTTTAATAATAAGTTGAGTGTCGCCTTCTGATATCTCATGACTCATGTATCATTAAAGTAATTCTGATAAAATGCTTCACTTGTGAAATGGTCTGTTAGACTACTACACCACAACACATTACTATATTCATAGTTTGCTCTGTACTTGTGTCAGTTGGTACTACGAGTAGCATGTAAGGATAGGTGTGGGGGAAATAAGTGGAGCTCTGTGTATGATTGTGTATTTCCTGTAAAGCCTGTTTTTTTACGGCTGTTTATCAGTGTAACTCCCTGAAGGCTTCCTGAAGTCACTATTGTGTCTTGTGTGCCATACAGATAAACTGCTAGCTCCCCCAGCAGCAGACAGCGATGGAGAGAGCGACGGGTCGGACCGCGTCCCTGTGCCCAGCTTCCAGAACTCCTTCAGCCAGGCTTTTGAGAAGGCGCTTCTGCAGCTGGACAGCGGTGCAGCTGGTCCTCCACAACCTGTGGTTGACCCAGGTCTGGCATCTACGAATGAACTGTATCAAGTACATTTAATTTAGATATTTCTAAAACTAAATTGTTTGTTTTAAGACTTATCCCACTCATCCCCGGTGTCTTGTCTTTCAGATGAGAAAGGTGGAAAGAAGAAGAAGAAAAAGCAGAAACTTCTGTTCAGCACATCCATGGTTCACACAAAGTAGACAACACTGAAGTTAATTTCATCACATTGTTTCTTGAGTTGATCTTCCCGCTGTTTTTACTGCCATGCAGATATTTCTTGGAAAAAGGTTTTAGGAGGTCGCCAAAGTATACTCTGCTTTCGGTCATTGTTTGTGGGCTTGATCCATTGTTTGGGTGGCATTCCATCAGTTTCATATACCTTTATTTTTCATTGTGAAACTAAGTCAAAGCTTTGCTACAACCTCCTGGTACACTGCAAGCCTGATGGATAACATTTTGTTGAGATGCTATGCAAAGCTGGGATTTAACAAGCTGCTGGTTCACATTAGGTGCGCTTTAGACTTTTAATGGCTTGTATCACAGTGGTTGCTGTGTGATGTCCAACTTTCCTGAAGTTTGACCCTGAGCATCTAGGATCCATGAGTAATATTGATAAGATCTTTATAGGTGCTTAATATTAGAGTAGCAGTCAGCCAGCTGCAGGCACGTTGCACCTTTTTAAATCTTTTCCAAGATACTCAGTGCTCCGGCATCAGTGTTGAACTTCAGCTTTGAATAAATGGAAACCAGTACATTTCAGTGTTTATCACAGGTAATAATTTGGAGTAGTACTTCATCACCCTTCTAGGGGATAGCTTTTGGGTTTGAGATCAATGCCCTGGGATTTTGTTCCAATACCATTGCGAGGAAGCAAAAACGCAGTATTGTATTGAAGAGATTAGATCTGTTGGTTCAGCAGAACTCCGGTATATATCCTGCATGGTTAAACCATAACTATGCACTTTCTTCTCATTCAGTTTCTCCTCTGTGTTATCTTCTGTTGTAGAAGGTTTACTTACTTTTAACATTACTCCCCCAGTTTAATTTCAGTGTTGAACATGTGTGAAGTTTAAACTGACATTTAAAGAATGCTTTTGAAACCTGGAGAGAAGGGGATTGATTTTGTTTTGTTTGAGGGTTCTTTAAGTCACCTTTAATTTTGAGCAAGTTTAAAGACTAGTGAACAAAACTAGTCTGTTGAAATGAATAAAAAAATGATGCACAAAGAACTGACTGTTTTGTGTGGCTATTAGCCAATAAAGGATAATTTTTGGTAAGATCAAACACTATAGAAACTACCACTAGAAATCACCATTAAATTGGCTGCCACAATTTGTATGCAGTGTTTAGTTCTGTCCACATGAGGGCAGTCCAGGCAAGCCTGATGTTTATACAATCTATTTATCACAGCTGCAGAGTCAATGTTTTTATTACATGATTGGTTAATGCAAAGCTAGGAGCGAGGTCAGACTTTAATAACGTGCATAAGGCTATTAAAGGCTATTCAAATACATGAATGATGTGTTCATATGATAACAGGTCTCTTTATTCATGGAGGCGTTAGCCATTATTTTATTGTGTCCAACATTTTGAAACTGTCAGTCAGTCCCTATAGGTTTATTAATTAGTTGTTTTTTTTTTTAAATATATTGATTATTTCTACATAGCTGAGATGGGATAGCTCTCGCGCAATCACATTATCAAGCAGAAGAGTCAAGTTGTCCACATTCAGCCCGGAAGTCGGGGATTTACCTATAAAATACACGAGTTCCACTGAGGGTTCATAATAAGACATGTATATTAAATTAAACTCCGATGTATGGACATTTAGAAAAACTAATGTCCCTGTCCTTAAACCAAACTACTTATTTGGTTCCAATATTAGTTCAGTTTATGCTACGCTTTATTTTGAAAGTACTAACCGGAACACGCATGTCGTGCTGGTTCTCTTAACGCTGGTTTAGAGGCTAACCAGTCGGTCGGCTTGTTCAGCGCTGTCTAGTCGAGCCTGTCAACAACACTGCAACCTGAGACGGGATAGCCAGCCAGTGGGCTAGCTAAGTAAACCAGCTAAGTTAGCTACTCTGCTAGCACTTGTATCAACCAACTACTACGACTCGGAATTTATCCGCCTAAGTTTCAAAGATGTATTATGTTTGAAGTTGTTTCGACAAGAAAGAAGCAGCAGAACTGACTTTCCCATTTCGGTAAGTTGTCTCCAATTCGGATCAAACGGACAGGTTCAGTCAGTGTGTTTCCATTTTGCGAGTCCAGCTTCTTGAGTTGTTGGCTAACCGTTGCTAGCCAGCAAGCTGTTTGGTGCGGTTTATCTGTCCTCTTATTTTGAAGTCTGGTATTATTAGACGAGTTTGAACGCCGCGTGCATCTTTGTAACTCGGTATTTGAGCTTTAAAAGCACTCCTGTTCTGAGCAGGTTAACTCTGTCTTTTTCTGAATTGGACCTGGTACTATCCGTGAGACGAGGTACTTTAATTGTAGGTGAGCGGTCTGCACAGGAGGAAGGAAACTAACACTTGTTGCAAATTATAGACCGAGACAGACGAGGTTTTAATATGGACATAATATGCTGTATCATAAAATAATCAAATGAATGCAGCTTGTTTAATTAGTAAAAGTTGAATCACTACAAATTGTCTTAATTGATTGTCTTTGCACATTTACATTCATGCTTATTTGTGCTTGCTCCTGTTTTAGACTACAAGAAATGCCTAAAAACGTTACCTTGATCTTCTGGATCACGTCCTTTAGTGATACTAATACATATTACAAGCTATTTTAACTCTGCATCAAGTCTTCTTGCAGACAATTGAGATTATGAGATATATTTGTGAATTGTAATTTAAATCTTTGCTGTGTACACTATGTGAGAACTCACTCCCGAGAGATACTTCTTCTTTTAGTTGCTGGTAGGTAAGTTAACATGAAACAGTCTATTGTCTGTGTTAGATGTCCTTTGTATAACTGGCTGAACCAGGTCACTGACTAGATATCTTACTAGTAACACTCTGAGCACTACTCTCTTTCTGTGTGTGCTTCTTGCTAGAAATTAATGAAATGTCTTTGAATTTTGCTGCACCCACTTCTTAAAGTTACCTGCTAAATGTTTTACGTATTCAACATGAGTATGCATCTTGCTAGAAATAATACAGATATTGAACGTGTCGTTTGTGGCTTTCAGTATTATGTCCTTTGTAAAACTCTCGTATGTCTAAGGCTTTATAAGGCAGACACTCTCCTAATCCCTGCTGTGCTGCTCGACCCACCATCACAGGGAATGTTCAGCATTCCATTTTAGCGAAGGTGTTTCCTGTCAACATCTAAAGTTCAACTTTTCAATCTCTGCTAGGCGAGCTGAAGTCGGTGTGTTTGATCAGTATCATTCCTTTTCCTTCCATTTCTTCCTTTTAGATACAGTGCATCTAAACATGTTATCAGCACCTACATAGTTAAAACATATCAGTTGATGTACGTAAAATGAGAAGTGTGTGAGTGATTGCCGGTGAGCAGTGATGGAGCAAATAATAAAAGTAGAAGAACAGGAAAATCTAAACATAGAGCAGCATTGCGTCAATGATTTCCCTCGTGCATTCTGTTGTTTTTAATGTCTGTTAATATGTCATCAGCTCAAAAGTAAGGGTGTGACGATGTTGACTCACGTCTCTGTCAGTGTAAACATCATCATCTCTTTGCTTCTGTACGCGGGCGTGAGAACACCGCAGTGAAGAAGTGTGTGGAATTGGACAGCCCTGTAGCAGCTCTGCTGTGATTTTTGTTTTCCACAGCCTCAATCACAGCAGTCCTGACTAGAGAACGTGTGCTCTATTGACACAAGAGTGTGTTCTTCTCAGGCTTCTCCACATTCTTCCTCCTGTGTGATATGACATCGCTGTTTGGTTACAACAAAAGCCAGAGCTCTACAGCAGACGCTTGACATCTGGTCAGGTAAGATATTCTGGGATTTACCTCACAGCAGTTGGTCATTTTTCCTGTTGCTGGTCGGTATAGTGAAGTATCTCAACACAACAACATGTGGAAAACATTACCGGATGTGAAGAGGGAGTCTCTTAAAGGGCTAACGCAGAAGTGCTTGAGTTGTAATGTTTTTCTATCGTCGTCTTCACTATAGAAACGACTGATAAAACTCATTATCATCATAGTGAGTCAGATGATCTCCAGTTATCTCATATTTTATCACTATGTCTCCTTTTTAGAAGAGTCCGTTCAAGATAAACATGTGAACGTTTATTAGGGGAGGAGCTGGATCTTAAATGGCAATCTGGTGTGAGTTTGCAGTGGAATCCCCCATTCACTGTCTAAGCCTGATTTGCCTGTGTGACAACATGAAAACGAAAACAATGCCGTTGTGTAGCTCCTCCCCCTGTGTCAGGATCCACCTTTTTAAAGGTACACTGATCACTACTACACCAGTAATTCAGCTTGGCAATGCACGCAAGTCAATCAGAGGCAATACATTTACTCATCCCAGCCAAAGCAGTGTGACAGTGAACCAGCATGCTCAATACCAGAACCCTGAAACTGAAGCAGACATCATTGATTGTTATTACTTACGCCTGTGCTTTTCCTAATGAGACCTGTCAAGATGTTTCATGAAAAAGGTCTATCAATGTGACAAACAGCTGTCGACATGCGTTTTTAATCACCTAGAGTGACCTATAACCTTTCTCACTGCGCTGCAGTGTGAGGCACTCCCAAGACAAAGTCCACAGTAGTGGCTAGATGGAGTGAGTGCTATGAAGCTAATAATGAGTTGGATTTAGCATGATGCAGTGCTGTGGTATTACATCAATATAGAAATGACCATAGATGGATCTTTTTTTGTTACTTTGATCTTTTTTTTTTCCTTTTTAAAGGTGCTGTTCAAGAGGATGGCTGCTCAGGTAGAGGTCCAGACTGGGGAGGTAGGGAGGCCAGTGGTTGGAGGACGACTTCACCTGAGTCCTTTGACTGACTCCAGCAATAAGAGCCTCATCGAGATCCCCTCCATCAACCAGTCCCTTATTATCACCCCAGAACCTAACAAACCTGTCCCAGGCCCCAAGCCACGGCTCACTCCCAAACCTTTTGCTCTGGAGAGGAACCCCACTGTTAAGCCTATACTTGCTCCTAAGCCCCAAACCAAGCCCCGGCCAGAGTCCACTCGCCTTGCTGGATTCAAACCAGAGCCTCCATGCATTCCAAAACCTCAGCAACCAGTTGCCACTGGCAAACCCAGGCTAGTGTCAACCAACCCCAACCGACCCACCCCTACCTTTTTTAGAACAACTAATAAGTTCAACACTGGACAAACAACCAAGCCGATAGTCCAGCCATTTACACCGGTCCCTCCTCTTGACCTGGGAGACCCCAGCAAACCCAGTCTTCCTTTAACAGCAGAGAGGCAGAGACTTGGTTCATCAAGCTTGGTCTATTCCAAGAGCCTTAAACAACTTCCACCAGCAGTTTGGGCTGGAACCACTAAAAATCAAGACGAGACAGACCAGATGTCATCCAGCACAGAGGGGTCCTCCATGACCAGAGCCAAGTCCGTGGGTTTTCTCGCTCAGGTAGGGCAGGAGGAAGAAGAAAAGGAAAAAGAAAACCCAGAGGCAGCAGTGCAACTGCGGCCGAAACCCAGAGGATCCAGGCCCAGGCCTGTGTCAGCCATTTTCCTTGACAGTCCGACCAAGACGGAGACGCCAGTTCCTGCCCTTCGCTGGGCCAGACGACCACTTTCAGCTGATCTCACGGCCAAGTTTGAGTCTATCGGTCTGTCTCTGCACCGTAAAACTCCCAAGGAAGATACTAAGGAAAACACTCCAGAGGAGAAGGGCCCGGCGCAGAATAGAGAGCAGGAGAAAACACCGAAGAGTACCACACCACAAAGTACTGATGTTGTAAGTGACAGAAAGACTCTGAAAGAGACTGAAGAGGATAAGCGCACAGTTAGCATCAAGTCCCGAATCAGTCTCCTCCTCGATTCATCCTCCTCTCCTGGGACGGGTGTCACAGACCAAGGGTCGGATCTTCACTCTCCAGTGCAGCCGGTCCCTGAAAGCGAACCACCGGTGGGTGTCAAAAAGCTCATCAAGCAGCTGACCGAGGACCCATCACCAACTCAGAGCCCTGTTATGAAAACAGCACCGAAGCCCCGCCCCCTGCCCCTCGACCTGACTAAAAGGTAAGATCTGCTCTTTATAGGCTCGTTTGAGATGAGCCAGTTGAGATGCGCCGATCGCCGCACAATGCATGCCGGTTAGATTTGTGCCCGACTTGCTCTGACGTCATCCACACGTGGGCAACGATAACCTCACGAGATCGAGGTGGCCACAGTTTTTAGAGCCAGGCGCCGCAGTTGCTCTCCACTGCCTGCAAGACCCAATGCATGATGGGAAACGCCTGGCTGTCAACTGATAAAACAGCTGATTACGTTGTGTAGAACATTTTTATGTGTAATTGTAATATTTAACTCTAGATTGTTGGCTATTAGTCTCATGTTGTGCAACGAAGGTTTAATCTAAAAACATCTTGTGTGATTGTTAATAATAAAGTTTATTTATATAACATATCAAAACAAGCATCAAAGTGTTTCACAGGCATAAAAAGAACAAAAGATTGAACACAATGCAGATACACGCATTTGCACAGAAATATATATTTACAAATCCAAACGAGGTCTGTAAACTACAAGTAGCCTACAGATGGGATCTAACAGGATGTTACTGTTTCTGTGGCTTGCTGTATATTCTTTGAAGGCTGTTGGAAGCTGTCCGACTTCAGCAGTACTTTATCAACGCCCCCTGCTGCTGCCGCCGCCGCCTGATCTCGTCCACTTTCCAGGCAAAGCGCAGCTCATCTCAAATGAGCCTAATGTCTTTTAATGCCACAGCTTGCTTTTGTGGTGTGTGTCCACGAGTTCCATTGTCATGCATGGCTTTTGTGTTGTGTGATGCATGTTCATCAGGTTTGGATCCGAGAGGTCGCCAGAGCTTGGCAGCGTTTTCTTCAGTGAGGCGACAGACCACGATGAGATCAGCAAAGATCCTCAGAGGAGGGTAAGAAAGGGACTCGGCTTTGCAGGAACTGGTTTCTGTTGGGCTCAGTATATATTTTCACAGGAGAAGGAGAAACAGTGTTACAGCTTCGGGGAAAGTTTTCACATGGTATTTTCTAAACACAGTTACATTTTAGTGCGTTTCTTCTCGTGTCTTGCCAAAATAAAAACCTTGGCAAATAGCAGAGAGAAAAATACGAAACCAAAATGGCACATGAGCACAGTACAGGTCTGAGAAGTAGATTAAACAAGATGGAAGTTGACAGGAGTTACACTGTGTGCCTTTGTACTTACTATTATAAGTTTATGCCTGAAATGGTAAACCATGGGGAAATACAACTTTAACAAAACTAGTGTTTCCATTTGCTGTGGACACCTGAGAGTGTTTAAAAGGAAATTTCCCAAGAGGAAATTGGACGTTGCAGCAAAACGACTTGTCACTACCATAGATGGACAAAGCTGTGAAACCTAATACAGGTGGCACAATAATTGTCCCCGGTGGCTGCTGGTTATGAAAGACACAGAGGAGATCACTGGGAAAAGCTCAACACAGAGGCTTTGATTGCCTCCTCTGCACCACACCCACTGTTATGAGGCTGACGTAGAACAATGGGGATACCATTACTACGCTGGCAGTTCTTCACTCAAAGCCTTTAAATCCTTTGAGGGCTGTATTTTCTACTGTTATGTTGTCAAGTCACATTTCTTTTGAAAGCTTTTATTTCTGTCAGATAATTCCACATTGGTTGGTTGTTATGACTGTTATCACTTAACAACTCTCAGCATATCTCTGAATTTCCTTAGAGTGAAGAGTCGGCCATCACCCCCAGTGACCAGAGGACATTTGTGGATCTGAAAGACTCCCAGGAGCAGCTCCAAAAGGCCTTCACGCCTGAAGGGCCCGAGGCTGGACAGGCATTTGGCGCCACTCCCGAGGAAAGTGATCCCCGGAGTGACGTACAGACGGTGAAAGCATCCTTGTTTGACAACGTTGTGGAGAGGCACAGTGTGCTGTTGGTGGAGGACGGCAAGCCTGTAAACAAGGCCAATGATTTGCTCAGCAGCCCGTCATTTAAGAGGGGAAATGGCGAGGATGAGGGAACTCTTTTCACTGCCACCTACAAAGAGCCTGCATCTCCATCAAGTCCTCTGAGGGTGTTGCATGCCTTTGACACTGTGCAGGCTGTGGAGAAGAGCAGGGCAGTGAGTGAGAACATCCCGTCAGCACAGTGGGAGGATAAGGCCATGACGCTACGCTCCAGGCGCTTAGAGGGGAGCCGGCCGGTGGCAGAGAGGACCGGATCAGCACCAGGCGAGCCAGCAGAACAGCAGCCTCGCTTTCTGAGAGTGGCCGCTTTGCATAAGTGGACCCCTACAGGTCTTGAGACAAGTGTGGAGAAAGGGATGCCAAAGGAATCACAAAGGGAAGGACAAGGGGCTTTGGATCAAGACGGGGACCGGCAGCGAGAAGCTGAACAGGAGGAAGTAGCTGCAGCTCCAAAACGTTTGAAAATGCTGCAGTCGGAAGAGCAGCCGAGACCCAGGGCCACCTACTTTGCTCTGACTGGACAAATACAGGAGCCAGTTTCTCCTGTCGATGCAGGAGCAAGCGTGAGGGACGTGACTGTGCCCTTTGACGACTTCTCTGTGAGGTCCGCGCCGGGCAGCTCACAAGGGAAGCTTCTTCCAATGAGGAGGAATCCATCTTTAGAGGAAGCTTTTGAAAAACACTCTCACAGTCAAGTTGAGGAGTTGAGGGCCCACATTTCAGAAAGAGCGAGAAGATCAACTTTCGATGGACAGGCAGCAGAGGAAATGATGGACGTTGAAAAGAAAAGAGAGTTACAAAAAGAGACAGAAAGACACATGGCAAAAATGAAAGAGCTTGAGGGGGAAAAACAGAGACGGCTGGAAATGGAGAAAGAAGCTCATTTAGAATTTGCACGAATGAAAGAGAGGGAGATGCAAAGGCAGAAAGCCTTTGAGAAGGAGAAACAGGAGTTTGAGGAGAAACGGCGTGCGCTGGAAAGGCAGAAACAGTTCGAGCTTGAACAGAGACAGAAACTGCAAGAAGTGGAGAGAGCGAGACTAAGAGAGCTTGAAAAAGAGAGGCAACTACCACTCGAGACAGAAAAACGACAAAAAATTGAGAGACAGAGAAAGATTGAAAGAGAGAAACTGCGGGAGCAGGAAATGGTGAGACAGCGGGAACAGGAGAGGCAAAGACAAAGGGAGGAAGAGAGGCAGAGAGAGCTGGACAAGGAAAGACAGCTGCTGGAAATCCAAAAGGAGAAACAGAAAATTGAAGAGCTGAAGAGAATTAAAGAGCTGGAAAGACTTCAACTCTTCGAGTTTGAAAAACAGAAGCAGAGGGAAAGGGAGACGCAGCAGCTGATGGAGCTCGAGAAGCAGAGGCTCAGAGAGAAGATGGAGAGAGAGGAGGCCGAGAAAATAAGACAGATGGCATTAGAACAGGAAATGTTGAGGATGAGAGAGATTGGTAAGGAAAGGGAAAGACAAAGGGAGATGGAAAAGGAGCTTCAGAAAGAGATGGAGAGAGACAAGCAGAGAGAGCTGCAGAGACAGAGACAGAGACAACTAGATATTGAGAGACAGGAATTGGAGAACCAGAGGCTGAGACAACGAGAACTGGAGAAGGAAAGGCAGAGGAAGGAGGTGTTGGAGAGAATGAAAGAGATGGAGAGAAGACAGCTCTTTGAGTTGGAGAAGCAAAAGCAGGCAGAGAGGGACAAACAGCAACTTGTGGAGCTGGAGAAACGCAGACGGAGGGAGAGTGTGGAAAGGGAGGAGGCGGAGAAAATGAGGCAGATAGCCAAGCAGCAAGAAGCAGAGAGGCAGCGACTAAAAGAGAGGCAGAAGAAAGAGGAACAGGAGAGGGCGAGGTTGGAGTCCTCACCTCTCAGGCCTCACGTGGTGGATCTGGACTCCATGTTCCGAAATAACTCATTTTCCAAAGCCACTTCTCAGCGCAGTGACCCGGCAATGCGATGGAAGGAGCCGTCCCTGAGAGCAGAAGAGTCTTACAAACCTTCCATCCTTGACATAGACTCCTTCACATCTCAAGTTCAGCCCTCCCCCAGTGAAGACTTGTTTCCTGTTTCTGGAATTCAGGGTGTAGACGCTGCATTTGGAGCTAGATCACAGCCGCATACACCCGACGTAGATGTTAGCTGGAGGTTGCCGCAACAGACTTCGGGTATCGCAAGCCCCGTATGGACCACGTCTCTTCAGGACCCGTGGGAGCTGCGGCCCGTCGACATGCCTGTGGACAAACCTATGGCTGAACCCAGAAAACGTACCAACAAACTCAGCCCAGAGCAGCTCCTCCTCAGGCAGGAGGAACGGCTCCTGGCTCCACAGAGGCCGTCCGGCAGCGCTCCTGAGGAGCAGATATGGCTCCCCAGAGAGCAACAGCCTCAAAACGGCAGGGGAGAGGTCCGGAGATCACAGGGGTCTCAGGTGAGTCAGATACATCCACGAAATACTGTTTCATACAGGCGGCAAACCTTCGTGTCTGAAAATGTATTCTTTCTAAGAGTCAGCAGGGGGCAACTCCTCTGGTGGCAAAACAAGGTCAGATTGTATAGAAGTGAGAAATTGACCATCACTTGATTTATTGCTTATTTTGATCATCTAAAAATGCTCCACCCTCTCATGTCACTTTTGATTGCAACAAACCAAGATGGCGACGGCCAAAATGCCAAACCGCAGGCTTTAAAACCCGTAGTCTAGAAACCAATGGGTGATGTCACGGTGACTACGTCCAAGTCTTAAATACAGTCGGTTCATGTGGAAATTGTTTTCATTTTGCACAAATGTAATCGCACTATGTTTAAATTAAATACAATATTGTTGAACATGATTATTGTAATATTGCAGAAAATGGTATTACTGCAATAATCCTGTAAGATTCACATCCTTTTGTAGATGTCTGAGATAAAACCGCGTGGGACCACGTGCACACAGTCGTAGCTCTTTTAACACACGTGCCATCATTCAATTATATTTCTGACCTGCTCACTGACTATACCCCCATCAGACGCCTCAGGTCTTCAGACAGTGGCTTTCTGGTTGTACCCAGAATAAGATCTAAAGCTGGTAAAGGTACCTTTAGTTCCTGTGGCCCTCTGGAATGTGTGCATGTGTGTAGATGGTGTGTGTCAGTCTGTGATTTTATTTTATTTATTGTTGCACTACTGTGTTGCATATGTGTGGTGTTTACTTGAATGCAATTAATTCATTAATTTTTTTTTTTCTTCTTTTAAATGTAAAGCACATTGAGTTTGTCTGGAATGAAATGTGCTCATTGAATACGTTGAAATCACAGAAAGCAGAACAGTTCAGAGAGAAAAGACTCATTCAATCTCTACAAATGTATATTCAGTTAACAAATAACAATTCATAGTTCTGAATATACTGGTCTTACTGAGCTGTGTCACCAGTGAGCAACTTATAGTTGGACAGAAAGGGCTGTTGTTCCAGCATTTCCATTTATTTCTTCTAACTAATATCATCTTCTGCCTTTAGATGCTGCTGAATACGAAATATAGATTTTTACAATTTACATAACATGTTTTAAATGTAAACATTCACATGTACACTAAATATTGCATGCCATTTTTTCTACAGACTTGTTTGAAGTAATCATAACATTGGTGTAAAGCAATATTAACATACAGTATATGCTGATTCTGTGTTAGTTAAGTCGTACGTCTGCACCTCGGGGGGGACTATGCTGTTTGGTGTGTGTCTGCTTGAGTGGTGGAAGAGTGACCACATGCATGCTCTCCCTCTCCCAGTTGTCCAAGATTACTTTGATACAGTTGTGCGTAATAAATATTCCACAAGTTATGAATACCTCTCAGAGATTCCCAATCCACAGCAGCATCCAGCATGGTAGCAAACATGTTCAAAGACATATGTTTACAAGGTGATATGATAGGAAGTTGACTCTGGTGTGTGTGTGTGTGTGTGTGTGTGTGTGTGTGTGTGTGTGTGTGTG